GATGCTTTACCAGCTGCTACTTCTTCCATGAATTTCTTATATTCTGTAGAAAATAAAGTAAGCAAATATTAAATGATAATATCACAGCTATGAAAAAAAACTTTGGTCAGGGTTCCATTTACTACGATGGCTTGGAGAATGTGTTTTTACGTGGAGTCGGTGGTCTTTATTTCTCCATTTAAGTCAGAAAATAAGATATTCTGTCGCCCACAACAAAATGGTGGCAGGCTTATTACATAGCGGGCAGCAATGAAAGATAAAATTTCAGTTCAGCATATCTTTGTAAATACTGAACGGAATTGAACCATTTTTGGACTGATACTAGAGATTCGTCTTTCACGATATTGTAGTTTGCATGCGGATTCATATTGCGCTAAAATGACGCAATTAGATGTTAATAAAATAAACTTACTCAATTCCAAAGGAGTATCGTCAAAAATACTTGGTTGTCGTCTTGGTATAAAGACAGAAGATGGTCTCTTTATGTCTGTTTTTTGTTGACTGCCATGTTTATAATCAACATATTGGTTGATGATAGGACAACTCCTGTTGATATACAGAGTGGATTTTCTTTCTTGAACTAAAACCTTATCCTGCACAGCAGATATGATGATATGATCATCGTACAATCGTTGATATTTTATTTCTGAAAGTATAAAAATAAAATATTATATTAGTTATTACAGACTAGTGTATGTTTTGACAAACCAGTTTCGTAATAAGCGTCCAGTTTTGCAAAAAAAATATTACAAAATTGAACGTTTATGACAGAACTGGTTTCTAAACACCCTAAGCATAAAATATAAAGTAAAGAAACAATAGGATATACTCTAGAAAGCCCAAATTTTAATCAGTGTTTCAAAAATTATCTCGCGCCCGGACGGTGGAGAATCCTTCCGGACATGCCCCAGTCCGTCTCTGTGCCTCTGTATTCGTTTTAAGCACTGTTTGTCTTGTGAAGTTGTGACTGATGGCAGGAACAACAACGGTTACGATATTTTGTTACAGGTTTTGAAAAACAGTAAATAATATTTGAATTTCTAATATTTTTTCAGAGCAATGTCCGAGAGAATATAAAACTAGATTAATATCTTTGATGAAAAACATCAATAACTCACCTTTGTAGCCCATGGTGTATTTCTTAGATAATTAAGATAATAATCTGCGAAATCCAGTCACTAAAAGAATAAAAAGTAAAATATATCTTTAAATAGCCTAATGATAAAGCGATGATAAAAACTATAGCAGAAATACTGAGGTTAGAATGTTACCTTTGCCAAAAAAAGCGTTGAGAGTCCAAAAATACGTCCTACAAGAATAAGATTCTATCTGAACATTACGTAATATTATTGTGACGTCACAATTGATTTTACATGACGTTTTTGGATCTGTGTAGGCCTATTTTTATCTTTTTATTCTTCCTAGATAATTTTAATTTAAGGAGTTTAGGCCTAACGTTTTATTATTATTATTATTATTATTATATTTATAGTGCGCCCTTTCATATAACATGTTCAGGGACACTTTACAAAGTGACAATGTAATCATAAATAAACAACAAGATTGTGGACATGCTAACGATTGTATACAGACTCAGTTAAAAGTTTGATTAAATAAATGTGTTTTAAGTTGTTTTTTTAAAAGAATATAGAGATGTACAGCATCTTAAACTAAATGGTAGATTATTCCATAAAACAGATGCTTGATAACTAAAAGAGCGCTGACCATAAGAGACTAGTTGAACAGTTTTGGGCTTTAAAAGTAGTTTATCCGATGTACGTAATGTTCGGCCAGGTGTATAAAGTTCTAAAAGATCTGAGAGGTAAACGGGAGCTAAATTGTTTAAACATTTAAAAGTAAGTAATAAAATCTTTAAAACATGAACTTTTCCCCGTCATTCACTTTAATTTCTTATTTATTTCTACGCTAAGATTTAGTGCTGGTAATTCCAGGTGGGTATGGCTTTGTCATCGAAGCAGCATATCGTTTAATCTCTTAACTTGAATGCTCAAAATAATAAAATGCACTTCTTCTTAATGTCCCGATTTTGAATAGTAAGGTGGTGTTTAAACTTGCATGTGTTTCAGCTGCTGTCCAGCCAGTATCTCAAGCTTTTCAGAAGTAGGGATTAACCACTGAAGATAATTACAAAGTGCCGATGTCAAATTGTTCAAACTGGGTCTATAGACATTCTGGAGACCGCTGTGGACTAGATTAGAATGTTCCAGGTTCCAATCCATACGAACTGCCGAGAATGGTCGTTCGGATCAGATCGGCTTTAATAAAACATGATAGTCTGAATTCGAAGAATAATTGGTGGAATTGTCCTAGTCTACTATAATAGTTTTATTCTAATTTAGTTGGTCCAATCGTAGGTACTATACACCTTTGACAAAAATAAAGCAAAAAACGAACACAAAACAATTTGAAAATACTGGAAAATTACCTTTTTTCGAGGTGTGTAACGTCAAAATTGAAGACAAATTTCACAACACGTCTGTTAAGAACAAGATTCTCTTTAAACGTGACGTAAAGTCGTTATAACGTCACGATCTGTTAATTTCTCAGTCAAATTAATGCGCGGTTAACTAATCCCTAATAGTTTGACTCCATTCCATCTCCATTCTCTCAACACACACTTTGAGGGGAGTAGGGTCGTCTGTCCAGCCTCGTGGGTTTTTTTCGGGTCCTCCGGTTTCCTCCCACTGCAAAAGAGCCCTACGCGCAAGCGAATTATTGAAATAAAACTAAAAACCATATGTTAGTTCCGAAATGACCTAGTTTGTGTCGAGTGGACGTTAAACCACACTTTGAGGACTTGGTGGGGGTGGATGGCCGAATGGTTAGCACGTGCGCGCTATATCATAAGACCTGTCACTGAGTCAACTGGCGTGGTTTCGAATCCCCGGTTGTACGTGACAAGGAGTAGGGTCGCCTGTCCAACCTCGTGGGTTTTCTCCTGGTCCTCCGGTTTCTTCTCACTACTAAAGACCCCTACGCGCAAGCAAATTAACGAAATAAAATAAGCCATATGTTAGTCCCGAAATGACCTAGTTTGTGTCGAGTGGAAGCAATCTTAAAGCCTAAATTAGTAGAAATAATTATGTTTGGCACCCATTTCCTGTCACACAGTGAACATTTATGGGAAAATAAACAATGAATTTCTGTCGGAGATTCTTATATATAGAAGGATTATAAGGATAATATTTCAAATTTAAATAATAAAACCGAGAGATCACAACAATTTGTCCACGAAAAATTATATTTTAAATAGATAACAAAAACCCCAACAAAAACAATTTTAATGATAAATATGTAATGTCATAAAAATATATATTATTTAGGCTACATAATTGTTAATAGCAATATAGTACTATTATAATACAACACAATATGTTCATAAAATAATAATATCGTCATTTATTAATACTGAAGAACTTTCGAATTTCAACTGACAAGGGGGCTTACGGGCAATTTTGTGTTCCATACGAACGACTAGACACTTCCTTTGTGAGCCCCTCTGGTCACACAATTGTATTTTGTAAAAGTTGTATAAAAAAAGATATTGTGTTCTTGAATGTGTCCAATTTAACAGCGAATTTATTATTATTATGTAACATACTAAGAACCTAACTACATTTTTGGGGCACCAACCACCACCGCCCCCCTGCCCCGAGTCAAAAATTTCCCCGTACGCCTATGGGTATAGGAGTATAGGAATTTAGAATTAATATGGTTCTATCTATATAGTTCTATAGGGTCTACTGTGTAGATCCCATTTCTTGTTTCATTTGAATTTATAATGAGTATTGGGAGTCACGGTGGCTAAGTGGCGGTGGCTAAGTGGATAAGACGCTGGCTCGCTAGCCTGGAGGTCGGGTGTTCGATCCCTGTATTGGCCGAGCAAGCTCATCCAGATTTTCCGGCGTGGTTCCCCCTTGTCAGTTATGCAGGACGGAGGGACTGACAAGGGCAGCTGTCTAGTCGTTCGGATGGGACGAAAAACCGAGGTCCCGTGTACACATTGGCGTGCACGGGCAAGATTTCCTTTATGGCACACCCCATTTCATTTCTTTTCATTTTACATTGATTATTGAAATGTTTAGATCGAAAACGCGAAAACTACCTAGAAATTGCCAATATATTTGATTTTTTGTCGGGCAGCAGCGATGTGAATTATAATCACCTGTCAAGTAAGACGAGACATAAACCTCCTTTTTTTTCTATCACGATTAAATTGTTCAGATGTCAAAGCATTTCCGATACGCAAGACTATAACCAATTTGTCATGGAATTGGTGTTACACGATTATGAACACATTATAGTATTCTTCTTATTTGAAGCTGTTTCAACATCTGTGAAATAACCTATTGATACAATGATTTTGAGCGGTCTGTCAAAATATGTTTTGGAGTTGCTATATGTTTGGGTCAGTTGAGCTGTATGAAATCATGAACGCAAATAGATAAAAACTGAACCGCTTCCATGTAGGACAGAGATCCCAAATATATCTGGTACTTGGTCTAATTGCGATGTCGGAACAATGTTGCGATACACAAGCCCACCTAGGTAGCCTACATAGTACATGTAAATTGTAATACAACTTGGGAGTACAAGCTGAAATTAATCCCGTAGGCTACCGGTATCTATAATTTGCGCCAAGATTAAATTCGTGATTACACACGAATTCGATCGCATCCTGTTGTGTCATTTTATTGTTTAATGAAATATTTACAAGATCTAATGATAGAATAGCATGACATAAATAATATGTCTTGCTTGATAAGTAGTCATTATGGTCCTTAAGGCTTGGTTGCTATGGTAAACAAAACACGTGGTTAACTTCGTTAATATTTCATAAAAATCGATTAATTCGAGTTGTCTCCCATTGACCATTTTAGATCCTTGTTGTAGTCTCAATTAATTTGTCTTTTATACCTTCGGCAATAGGGGCAATACGTTTGACACATGTCTGGATATTCTAGAATATATTTATTTAACAACAATGGCGCCCTTCTCGAAGAAATTCTTAATATTTTAACTAAAAAAGGTTTGTTTTTATGTTAATTTATCCGATTGCAACTTTTAATCATTACAGTAATTTTCTTTTTACATATTTGAGTATATAGGATAAGCCAACAGACACAATATTATATGTCGAGAATTAATTCATTTAAAAAATGACAGTCAATGAACTGCCGGTATAGTACCGTTACGTGACTGTCATTATATTGACATTTGAGCTATAATTATAATTAGTATTGGGTAATCGTCCTGCCGTGTAATGTGCTATATTATATCAGTCTATCAGATTTTTACTTTCATATTGAATTGATAATTAATTTATACTATTATATCAATAATCAATATCAATTCATCTGTGTAAAAGGGAGAGAGAGAAACTAGGTTATTTTGGGACTAACATATGGTTCAATTTTATTTCAATAACTTGCTTGCACATAGGGGTCTTTAGAAGTGGAAGGAAACCAGAGGCCCCGAAGAAAACACACGATGTTGGACAGGCGACCCTACTCCTTGCCCTGTACAACCAGGGAATCAAAACCACGCTAGTTGACTCAATGACTGTTTAAAGGAACTAAATCTCTAACTCAATATTTTCCATAATATTTGAAATTAAAAACACGAATTAGAATCTATATTGATCAATTTCAATCAATATTGATGTTGTTATCTTGCCGTGATACTATAAATATAGTATCTTAATTTCCAATATTTAAGGCACAATTAACATTTTATAATCATTATACACAAGTCATGTACCCACCCTATGGTTTCAGGTGCCATTTTATAATAAACAAATAAAAACATATCCCACAACACAATGTGGAAGTTATTAGAAAATGCTGATTCACAAATGACAAAATAATAATTTTAAAAAGTCCAATATGCACCGAATATAATTGATTAGAAATTACAATATTTTTCAAAAATTGAATATAAAACACTTTACATAGGCCTACATTCATATTACATTAATATGTGCTTTTAGAACCATTTGTGTCTATTTCAAGGTTCCAAAAACAAAGACCATACGTTATCTAATGCATATCACTCGTCATAAGCTTTTATGCACATTTTCGGTATATTTATGTTCATGTATATACAAGATCCTATAGGCTATGCAAATTTTTATATACACCAATATGTAATAAAAATATACAGTTGATCATAGTCTCTGAAAAGCCTAAGACCCTGTATTACGCTATTATTACTGTATGTGTGGTGTGTGAGATCAGTAGAAACCAATGTAATATTTAAATAATCATTTTAAGCATGGACCTTATAGTACATACAATGTATATTGTATTTGTAAGATCTATGTTTTAAGTTAGAATTATTTTTGACCAAAATGTTTTTTTTATTAAAAGTTCACACATAATTTTGTATGGTCTTACACATACTCATGATTGTCACTCTCTCACTACCATTTACATATAATTATAATATACATCATCATTCAATTGTCAGTATTATAGTAGGTCTGTCACTACTGCATACATTAATAATTTTTTGTCAAAACAAGAAACCCGTTTTTCAAGGATATTTGTTAACTTTCCTGCTTCAAATACATTTGCATATTTTTAAAACTCAAGATATGATGCTTTACTTTTTTTTTTATACACCGACATTTTCATTTAGACGTATATTGTCGTCGCCCCTGTCCGTCCGGACGTCTGTCCACAATTTGTTTGTGGACACTCTACAGGTCACAATTTTTGTTCGATTTTGACGAAACTTAAAATATAGGTCTATCTCCCAAAGATATTGAATCCCATGGCTCCTGATTGTAAGAAAAATCATATTTTTAGCTTGTGTACACTCTAGAGGTCACAATTTTCATCTGATTTTGATGAAACTTGAAATGCATGTTTATACTCCAAAGAAAGATCTTGGTTCCTTTCGATATTTGCGCATATCAGATCGTAACTTCCTGAATTATGGCCCTTGATTGTACGAAAAATGACGTTTTTAGCTTGTGGTCCCTCTAGAGGTCACAATTTTTATCTGATTGAAAAAAATGTTTGACTATTTCACCATTACACCCTAATGATGGCTGTGTTCGAATTTCGGACAAAATAGCCGCCCATTGTACGCAAATAGTGTAAATATATGGTGTGTCAAGGTTGTGGAGCCTCTAGAAGTCACAATTTTGATCAGATTTTGATGAAACTTGAAATTTATCTTTATAACCCAAAGATCTTGGTTCCTTTTTTTTTTCTAAAATTATGGCCCTTGATTGTATGAAAAAAAAATCGCTTTTTGTTTAGCTTGTTCTCTGTCCATCTCTTGCAAAATGTGGGACGTATCCTGCCTGGCAGCCGCTGGTATGTAATAGTAATAATAGTTATCTCTCTTGTTTACCGGTTGTATTAATGGAGGGAATACATTATTTTGTACCATTACACAAAGTATGATTATTATTTCAGATACTCAACAACCAATAACATGACTGACATATTTAAAAACGTCAGTTTATTTTAAAAACTGAGACACAGCCAGACACCTGGAATTTAACAATTATCGAATATATAAAAGTTGACTTGGTATAATTGTTGCATCACTGGACGGCGATAGGATAATGTTTGCGTAGTTTTAATTTAAAATTATCTGACAGAAAATGGATCCAGATGAAGATGAACACATTCACCCTGGACAAGAAGATGTCCAACTCTCCAACATTAAAAGTAAGTTTAAATTACCAGTGCAAGTTTATGATTAGTTTTTCTTAAAAATCCAAAATTCAAATTATCAATAAATCACATCTTAATTAGTTTACTAAATATTAGATTGTAAATCAGCAATAGGCTGATTTGGGTGACTGAGTTGTCAAAAGCAGGGGGCAAGTCTAGTGAAAGAAGTAAAATTATGCTTTTGCAGTCGTTGTATCCTTACTAGATTCAGATTTTAATGATAACCTCTCATGTGCAGCACTGCATCCTCCAATTGATTAATGTAACTTATTTAGTCTTAGGAGCAGTTATTGAGAATTCACCACAAGACTGAAATATCAAGCTTTTAAACCCTTCGGCTCCTCCAGAAAAACATCTCACTTTGTTTACCGTAAAAGCATTACTGTTGTCATAACTTCTCGCTTTAACCCATGGCCTTTTATCGAGAAAATAAGCTTGATCAGATCTGCGTTTTAATCATTTAACCACAGTTATTTCTATTGTAGACGTTCATTGGCTAACACTATGCTGACCAGCTGTTAGAACAAAAATACTGGGTTACCTTTGTACTTGGTTTTCAAAGGTTTCACTAATTAGGCTTTTACTGAAACATGTCTTATTACATTAACAATATGCGGTGTATCAACAAATGATATACCGTAACATTAAACATACATTATGCAAGAGCTAAATCTGCCTATTGCAGGTCTTTCTTTAGGCCTGAAATGTTATCTAAATTATTAATTATTAGACATTAATTAACTTATCAAGACCATAATCAACTCTTGATGTCTTCGCTAGCCTGCGATATTTACTGGATTATGATCCGATCTGCTGCTCAACTCTCATTCATAATTAAATCAAGAAATGGATAACTGAGACAATGTACATGTATTTTATCGTACAGACTTTATTAATGATGATCGAGGTTAGGCCCAAAATTCAGTCGCTAAATTCTCGGTTCAGAGTGGATCAATTTGACTGAAATTTTCAGCAAATTACCTTTACATTATCTGGTTTTTAACTATTATAGTGAGAACTGCCAGCTCTTTATCTAATCTCCCATAATGTATGTTTAAATAGAGGTTATAAAAAAATTACGTGTTTTGTTAATATGCCAAGAATTTAATTATTTTAGGTTGTAAACCAACAACGAAAGGAAATAAACTGGTTGATCAAGCACGTAAAATGGTGAAACATGATAGTGTTTGTTCTAATTTCTGTGGTGGCAAAAAATGTAAATATTGTACTGTGTACACTTGGAGTTCTGAAGACCAGGCAATTAAGGGTCTGTACTCTCATTGGTAAGAATAAATTTTTAGACAAATACCCTGTTTTTTCAGCAGTTATAAATATATCTGGGCATCTGGGGATAAATGTATTATGATGTGGAAAACTTCACTAATTTTAGAAAAAAAAGTGTTTATTTGTATTTTTGTACAGTCTGTGGAATTAGACAACCGCTGAGAGAGCAAGAAATGAAGGCAATTTGTATAGCTTTAATGACTCATAAAGAACTTGAAGCTGGTATAATGATGATCAGGAAGATATTAGTTGATCATATCAGTTGTTTATTACTGAGCTTCATACAGGAGAATGATCTATGTTTAATCTACATGAGAAACAGTGCTGGATTGACCTCCCTTAATGTGCTAGAAATTGACTTCCCTGTGCAGTTGTTATAACACAAAGCTTCCTTGTAATTATATCCATATTTGTCATTGGTTTGTGTGCACATCAAATTAAATATGTATATATGCCAATGTAATGGTTGTTGTTCTGGTTTCCTGGAAACCCATCAGAAGTTTCGCTTTCAGGGACAAGACTCGGCATTGTTCTGACAGTAGTTGCTTTCCAATTGGAAGAAAAGGGTAGGACCAGTACAATCCTAGATAATAATTTTGCCATGGATGATGTTGATTTTGAGACAGAAATTATTCAAATTGGCAGAATTTCAATTGAGTTCTGTCAGAGTTTTGTTAATCTGAAAAACGAGATGTGTGTGATTTATATTGTTACTCTGTCAAGCAAATATGTTTCAACTCATTTGATTGGTGGAGATATTTTTTGATTCAGTTGGTGCATGCTTTGCTCGTGTTAGTGTGATTAAATGAAAATAATTCAAAAAATCAGTTTGGTGCTTCCATTGTTGTAAATCTCTTATTTGCGGATTATTGTTTTACATTTTCTATGATTTATCTTTACAGGATTACAGATAATATATTAGCAATGGCTCGACCTACCAATGAGGGTATCGAGAAATATCAGATACTAGACCAGTTTCTAAAGTGCGTTATATTTCTTCTTTTTATTGTACACATATTATATTTAAAGATGTATTTCTTTAACAGTCAAGGGTCAAAATACATATCACTGAAAATATATTCAAACCACCCATAAGAATACATTCAAACTACTTAGAAAAATATATTCAATCTAGCCAAAAAAATATATTCAATCTAGCCAGAAAAATATATTCAATCTTGCCAGGAAAGAGCATTTATTCCTAAAATCACAATATCTACACAGTTTCATGTGATAACAAGAAACATTTGTCCGAATAACTTGTGGTTTACGGATTTTGGTCTTATTTTATTTATTATTAACTTGCTAATTGTTTTTTTATATTTTTTGGCACTTTTAGAAATACATGTATCAAAATTTTAGGTAGAAGGAAGGTTTCAAGTGGCACTTGATGACCTAATTAATTTGAAGCAAACATGTCTTTAGCATATTCAGAAACTTTGAGAATTGAATTGCTGCCTAGACAAATGTCTCCCATTATTCCATGCATAATCATAGAAAATAAATTACTTTAAAACCTGATTTACATATTTTTGTGACTACAATGAATCACAAACATCATATTTCTCATTTAATGTTTATTTCCTAGAAAAGGAATCAAGACAGTTATAAATTTACAGCAACCTGGAGAACATGCATACTGTGGTCCAGGAAATGATAAAACTGGTTTCTCTTACAATTCACAACAACTTATGGAGAAAGGAAGTAAGTTGTTTTGGGTTTTTTTTTTATAATTATTAAAGAAATATGGACGAGTCTCACTCGTATGTTTTTGTATTTTGTAACTGTGTGTGGTGAGGTTTTAAACTGGTTATAAGCAAATTTTTCTTGTGCTTCTAATTTTTGACACAAATATATAACTTAAATTAAATTAAAATGGTTTTTTTTATTTATTTTGCAGTGTTTTTCTACAATTTTGGATGGTAAGTAGTAAGTCACTTAAACAAAAACATTTACTGATCAGAACGTTTCTGGCTGGAAATCTCTAACAAAAAATGTATTACTTTCCTCAGATATTCTTTGAATGGCATTTAGTAATTGGAACATAATCAAAAACACTTTCCTCAGAATCACATAACAAAAGGTTTTGTCATGATATGTGATGGGTACCAATGACAGAAATATTTTCTTTAATTATTTTAATGGTAATTCTTGTCTTCTTTTAAGGGATGATTTTGGTGTAGGATCCGTAACTATGTTATTAGATATTGTAAAAGTCATGCAGTTTTCGCTGTCAGAAGGAAAAGTTGCTGTACACTGTCATGCAGGATTAGGTAGTTTTGTATTTTATTTCAAGATCTTAATCAACTTTATAAGATATACTTGTGGAAAATGTTAAGACTTTTAAGAATATTAATAAATTACACAGATTGATTTTATTATTGAATTAAATTTACAACATTCTGTATATTTCTTGTGTATTTTAGGCCGTACAGGATTATTGATAGCGTGTTATTTAGTGTTTAATAATCGTCTGTCACCAGAGAGTGCTGTACATTATATCAGATCAAAACGGTGAGTAGTACTTTTACATTTACTACACGTGTTAATATTGTACATGTATTTATAAATACTGCAAGAGGGAAGATTACAATAAGGGGATATTTGATTGAACGTCCCAGAATTAAATTCTCTCAATTCCAAAAATAGTGTCAATCGAGTGAAAAGGAGAATTTCGAAGTACAACGCATGTGCCGACTGCATAAAAAATATCTCAACCATTCATGACAGCTGAAACATATTTGTTACTTAAAATACATCACGATTCTACTCACACCTCCTCAGCTATCGGGACTGGCAGAACTGTGACAGGGCTGAATTCTGTATCACTTTACTGCAATTCTGTCAATTCGGGAAGTTCCGGACTGACAATTGAGCACCCCCTAAGTGTTCAATTGGAATTACCTCCCTTGATTCTGTTTGTTCATAAAAATACATGAGTTAACTGTCTGAAAGTAGCGCTACCTGGGTTTTATTTATGTAGACTGGCTGCTACAGTCCTAATCCTGTTTCCTGAATGTGTTTCTATATAATAAATACATTGTGATCCTGCATAAATAGTTCTAGTTCCATCCCTGTATCATACATTACAGTAGTCATAACAATCATCCCTCTGACTTGATCTGGTTTTAATAAATAAAAGAGTAATAATCATACTGGATGGTCATTCTTCAGCTAGTGCTGATCCATGGGTGTAGAATTTGGAGTCTCGTTAAGAAGGTCCCAGAAACGTTTGAGGTTTGAAGTGAATTACATACACCATTTTCTTGTATGGAAGATGATTTCTACAATATCTGTCATTGTTTATGTGTTTTATTTTAAATCAATCATTTACAAATTTTTACAGACCTGGTTCTATACAAACTGTTCATCAAGTACAAATGGTGACAGATTTTGAAATGTATATTCAACCTTTTAGAGCTATCTTTGCAAACAAGTAAGTGTTTCACATGTTCGTATTTGTGAGTGTCATCAACAAAAGCATGTTGCTGATCATGATGCTTCCTAGAAGTACTATATATTAGCAGTACAATTGCTTGTAGATAACTCAGTTTATTTTTTTGGGCTTGACAAAAATCAACTTTGAGGAATTGAAATATCAAGTTCTGTGAAATTCAATTACTGTATATTGTTGAGGATTCTGTAGTCTTTGTCTTTATTGCTTGATAAAGACTAGGTATAGTTGTTGAAACATCACTCAGTAATAGATATCTGATGCTTTTTTTTTTCAGCAGCGAATCTGAATTTTCTCTACAGCAGCATCTAAATAGGCAGATAAAAATAATTCACGGATTTGAGGCTCGAAAATTGAAATACATACCCAAGGTAATATATTTTTATTTAAAAGCAATTTTATGGCTGTTGATTAAACCAGTATTGAACATAGCAGATTTTATGTGAATAATTAACTAAACTAAACTAAAACTAAAATTAATAAATATACCAATTTCTGCTTTATATATTTATTTATTTAAGCAATTAGTTTTTGGATTTATAAATTTTTGTTGGTTTTTTTTTTTTTAGATTGTTTATATTTGTTGTGAAAGATTATTGGAGCTGGCTAATTGTGGTAATTCTTTAAACAGAAGTCAGAGTTTTACATCCCTACAGTCACGAAGGTCTCTGTCTGCAAGTGCCGCTGGTAGTCAAGATATTTCACGCAGTATGGAAACTTTACGTGTTGAAAATCCACAGATTAAGACATTTGTATGCCCGGTTAAAAAAAAAAAATCTGTGACACTGAGTCATGGCAATAGTTTATCAGATAGTATATCTGAGAAGACCTCTTCAATCAGTTCCGACAGTCAGAGTGTAGAATCTCTTGATAGTTATGATCAATTGGACTTGATTGGCGGATCGGATGGTACAAATTGTACACCGGAGTGTAACCAGGTTGGAGATGCTCTCATGATGTGTGAATTTCCTGAAGACATTTTACAAAAAGTACAAGAATATAAGGTATTAATGTAGGAAAGGTTTTAGCTAATACCAAGAGAGTAAGGGTCAGTGGCTTATGTTGAAGTTCACCTTAAATCACACTTTATTGAGTCAAATTTTAGTATCGGTTAATTAAGATCAGATTAAAAAGTAAACCTTACAAATGATCTAAACTTGCTAAGACATCCTATTAACTTGTAGTACTAGTCTGGTATAAATCACAAATATGATTGATTGTAAATCTACATGTATGTGTAAATCCAAGTCTTTAGAGGTGGTGTGATAAACAAATTCAAATACATACATTCATTCAGTTTACACATGCAGTGAACTCTTGCTATATCTATAATGATTACAATATCTGTAGACTGACAAGTTGCAGACATAATTCATTTGTGATGGTGAACAGTCAGGCTCTGTCAGTGTGAATTCAGATTGAATCATTTCAGACCCAAACTGGCAGAGTGACTTAACTGAATTTTTGAGACTACAAACTATTTTACAATGCCAGAATGTTACCGTATCGAATGAGATGGAGATTCCATAATTATATAGGATATAAATGTTACAAATATTTAGCTACTTGTATTATATGATGTGACAGACTATATATTGATCTACTATCATTTATCACTTCTTTTATTTGTTTTTTTTTTATGTTTTATTTAAGGATAAGTTAAATTCGACTGATGAGGCATGGAAGATGTTAGGGAGAGAAACAGATCCGTGTGTTATTGTAGCCGTTTTATGGGAGTGGTTAAATCATCTACGTGAACCTATATTACACAAACAAGATTTAAAACATATAAAGGATGATGCTGATAAACCACTACAAGCTTTATTAAAAATGGATAAAGTAAGTAATAGGCAATACACAAATTTTTATTAAATATATTTAACAAATACCATGACAGAAAAGCTGTACTGACTTGGTATAATAATATCTTTGATTTAGATGCTCATTTATTGCCTGTTTAATAACGCCTAGCCAGATAACCTATAAGACTTATTGTACCACGTAAATTGAACACTGTATCATACAGTAAAATCCCGCTCAACATCCACCTCAGTTTTACAGGCCACTAGCGTATATACGATCGTATTTTAATAGAATATATCAAATCTGTGTCCTTGAAACTTATACTCATTATAAAGAAAATTGGCTTATATATTTCAAATATACAAAATATCTAGAAATCAAAAAATACACTTTAATCTAAATATAAAATGCACTTAGTTAAAATATAAAATGCACTTAGTCTAAATATAAAATGCACTTCGTCTAAATATAATATACAGTTATACTTGCTTTAAAACTACAATTACTGTTATTCTGTTTATTCTTTCAGGGGACAAAAAGTGTAATAGAGTATTTGGCCAAGGTGGTGGTCCGGTTAGATTCTCTCCCAAGAAGTAAATTAGATAATATCACCGAGATAATTTTGTCACATATCACACATCAAGCAGTTCATGTTAAAACTCCTTCTATGCAGAATAAAATCCTACAGCAAAAAGAACATTGGCAAGCTATGAAGGGAAAAACCGCAATGAGAATATTTTATTTTTTTCAAAAGTTAATGGAAAGTCTGCAAGAATCTGGAGCAATAACAAGAAGATAATGTTTTTTATTTAAGATTTCATTATTATTAATTCACTGTATCTAGTTTTATTCCGTCCAAGTTTTAAAGACATATTTATTTAAATTTTCTAGTACATTGCATGGCTTATATTTTAAATATCTGTCACTTTTATTGTTAAAATTAAGGGCATAGTTTTTAAGATGTAGGGTATTAAGGATGTAAATTATTTATTGTTATTAAGTCCTAAAGATGCTATTGACTGTGCTTTTTCCCACGTAGCATGGGCAGAATATGTGCCATACCCATACTCATTTATTAAGAGGTATATTTATTCTGGTATATTTGTTTGTTTAATCACAGAATCTTATTTCATTCCGTCCCATGTTTTAAAATGATACATTGATATTTATACATCTAGACTACCTAATTCTGATTTTCTGAATCAAAATAAAAAATAATTATTTTTTTATTATTGTGTTGTCACCAGTGTATGTCAATCGGTCCTCGGGGTAAGGTTATTGGCAGATTTTTTTTCAAAATTTATCTGTTTTATATCCTTGATTCTGATAATTTTGGAATGCATGCATTCTGTAATTTTCATGTTTCAGTAGCATGGCTGGTAAGTTTGAAGAAGAGAATTATGATGACATGATTCAGCAGTAACAAATAGAGCAGTAGTACTGCTGGTAATCCCATGTCCGGCCTTAGGATGATTGAACCTATTTGAGCCAATGGGACACATTGAATGGGTCCACACAGATCCACAGAGATGCCACACTATGGTTGCATGAGTTTGCATGACAAAACAAGATTTGGTTTGGTACAATTTATATCAAAATATAAAACTTGTAAGTAAAGCTTGATATTTTGAATAATTTGACTGATTGTAAGTAAAGCTTGATATTTTTAATAATGTGACTGATTGTAAGTAAAGCTTGATAAAGATAGATGTTGTGAATAATTTGACTGGTTTTAAGTAAAGCTTGATATTTTGAATAATTTAACTGGTTGTAAGTAAAGCTAGATATTTTGAATAATTTGTCTGGAGGAAAAATGAGTAATTATTGGTATGAACTGGAACCTAAACCATATAGACTTAAATCAATGGAAATTTACTGTGAAGGTTCCATTTTCCACTGGAAACTGTATCGATCAAATCCAAATTGTTTTAACCCTGATAAAAGTAAAAAATATTAGAACATAAATTCGTTAAATTAATTAGAATATAAATTCGTAAAACTTTAATTAGAATATAGATTCTTAAAATTAATTAGAATATAAATTCATTAAACTTTACTTAGAATATATATTCGTTAAACTTTAATTGGAATATAAATTCGTAAAACATTACTTAAAATATGAATTCACAAAACTTTACTTAAAATGTAAATTCATAAATTCTTAAAACTTTACTTAAAATATAAATTTGTAACACTTTAATTAGAATATAGATTCTTAAAATGAATTAGAGTATAAATTCATTAAACTTTGCTTAGAATATATATTCGTTAAATTTTAAATTAGAATATAAATTCGTAAAACTTAATTAAAATATGAATTCGTAAATATTTACTTGAAATATAAAAAAGTGAAAATTATTATAAAATTAAATTGGAATATAAATTTATAAACTTTAATTATAATATTAATGTGTAAACTGTAATTAGAACATAAATTCGTAGAATTAATTAGAATATAAGTTCGTAGAATTAATTAGAATATAAATTCGTAGAATTAATTAGAATATTAATTCGTAGAATTAATAAGAATATAAATTCGTAGAATTAATAAGAATATAAATTGGTAAAACTTTAATTAGAAATGAAATGAAATGAAATGGGGTTTAACGTCCTACTGTTTTGCTCCGAACTGGGCTAATGAAGACGGGCATACGCCATACAGTGTTCTATGAGGGAAATTTTGCCGGGACAGCGGCACTACAGCCTACTCTTGTATCGAATTCCAACTGTCAAGGGATCTTTTACGTGCACGCCAATGTGTACACGGGACCTTGGTTTTTCGTCTCATCCGAATGACTAGACAGCTGTCCTTGTCAGGCCCTCCGTCCTGCATCACTGACAAGGGGGAACCACGCCGGAAAATCGGGATGAACTTTCTCGGCCAATGCAGGGATCGAACGCCCGACCTCCAGGAAAACTTTAATTAGATTATAGATTCATTAAACTTTACTTAGAATATATATTCGTTAAACTTTAATTAGAATATTTATTCGTAATACATTACTTAAAATATGAATTCGTAAAAATTCAAAAATCTTTACTTAAAATATAAAATTTGAAAACTTTACTTAGAATATAAATTTGAAAAAAATAGAATATAGATTCGTAAGGCTTTAATTAGAATATAGATTCGTAAAGCTTAAATTAAAACAATTTTTGTTAAATTATTTAATACCTTAAAAATCTATAAATTGTTATAAACTGGAATTAGAATATAACTTTTTGAACTGAAATTAGAATACAAATTTGTAAAAATTTAATTAGAATATAAATTTTGAAAACTTTACTTAGAATATAAATTTGAAAAACTTTAAATAGAATATAGATTCGTTAAGCTTTAATTAAAACAATTTTTGTTAAATTATTTAATACCTTAAAAATCTATAAATTGTTATAAACTGGAATTTAAATATGACTTCTTGAACTGAAATTAGAATACAAATTCGTAAAACTTTAACTAGAATAAAAATTCGTAAAACTTTAATTAGAATAAAAATTCGTAAAATTTTAATTAGAATATAAATTCGTAAAACTTTAAAACAAATAGTCAAATTATTTAATAACTTTAAAATCTATAAATTGTCATAAACTGGAATAAGAATATGAATTCAAGAAATGAAATTAAAATATGTCCTGTAAAATTGTTTTAAAAATTTAATCTAAAATGGTTTAATTAGTTGTATTTGTTTTTATGGTGCAATTGTTTCTATATTATAACATACCGTACTGCATATATATATTTCTGCCAGCTACCTCGATCAACTTTCTGAAAAAATCTAGCTGCCCAGTTCAAGCTCTAACGTTAATAAAATGTTATCGATACTGCCCGACCTTTCCGTGTGGCGTCCCCATGCTACAACAAGGGAGATCATTTAAATGTTCAGAAAGCTTTTAAAAGTTGATTTTAGTAACTGGCATCGGTAACTATTTACTGATAGTATAAAGAAATGGGTGACTTGTTTTAAGAACTTATATTGGTTATTTTGTAATAGTTCACTTTCGAATATGCACTAGTCATTCCTTAATATATGTACATGTATATTTATTAGAACTTTAAATGCATCGTAATCTGCAAAACTTGCCTATTGTATATTTAGATAAAATTATTCGTCCATTTGTCCTGTGATATTCCCCTCCTTCTGGTTAAAAATGGAAAATCTGAAGGGATTCTTAAACTACAAATTAGACAAGGTTAAATAACAAGAAATTGTCCTTACTTTCACATCCAGCATTATCAAGATCCTTTCAAATCGTACGTTCCTAGACAAAATTACGTCTTGATCTTGTTTTATTATAACTTTAACAGTTTTTCTATTTTGACTAACTTTTCTAACAGTTAACTTTCATATACGTTCCGTATTTGAGTAGAAGTTTTGCTATGTTGGATGATAAGACTTTCTGATTTGTAGTTTGAAAACGCAAGTAAAATAGCCAGAGGAGAGGCTTCAGATTATTGTGTTGGTTTATTAAATTTATTATATACTTTGTATATTGTTAAATATATATTAAAACACATTCTATTGTAGTAGTTATATTCTGGTACATTATTATTGATAAAGTTGTTGAATGAGCTAGTCTTGGATGGGAAATATATTAATTAATAAAACCGCACTCTTTATCTAGTTTCGCCTGGGTTTTCTCCGGGTCCCCCGGTTTCCTCCCACTTCTAAAGACCCCTACGCGCAAGCTAATTATTGAAATAAGAAAATAAACATATGTTAGTCCCGAAATGACCTAGTTTGTGTCGAGTGGACGTTAAACCCCATCTCTCTCTCTCTCTCTCTCTCTCTCTCTCTCTAGTTTTGCTGAAAGGGGGTCACGGTGGCTAGGTGGATAAGACGCTGGTTCCCCCTTGTCAGTGATTCAGGACGGAGGGCCTGACAAGGACAGCGTTTAGTCGTTCGAATGCGACGAAAACCCGAGGTTCTTGCGAAATGATCGCTGTATTCCTGTGATTTTTTAAAACAATATTCAGACGACTGTTCCTTAAAAGGAATCGTCGAGAGCGGTGGATCTAGTCTGTTTTCATTACTGCGTGATGATTATAATTAAATTTGTAAAAAAAAAAGACATTCGTGAGTTGGGGTGCTATATTGGCGTGGGTGTCTAGTTTACTTCCATTTTAATTGATGTTACAGGGCAGCTTTAAATTCATTACCCAATCCTGGCAAGAATGGGAACGACTTACTTTGATCTAACGTTCCTAAACGTCTCATTCAATTATTTATATAACCAAACCGTGACAGTAATCGGTTGTTTTCCTAGTATACCTTATATGGGTGGATAAAATCAGAGGAGCCAAGTTATTACATGTAGTACATTTCTCTTCTGTTTAAATATATACTCTTCAAAAAAAGTATGGGACATTGAAATGCAAATACCTATGCAGGTTGCGATATGATAAATAGTCATGGACATTTGACATGCTTTGAGAGTATGTTCACGGATGAAGAACTTGTCGCCCCAACACAACCACTGAGCTGCACATGCGACACGCAATAGCGCCATACACGTGGGAGGGGTTCATTGTCAAATTTGACTCTTCAAGGAAGGGTTGATGAAAACTGCCGCGTGCTGGTTTATCTATCCATGTTTGCTTTCCTATCGGTTCTTGCATAAGATGTACTGTTTAGCGGATCTTTGCTTTAGTGGGTTACGTTTACTTTGATCGGGAGACGTGTTCGTCGACGTCAACATCAACCGACAACACTGCAAGAATTGGCCGTGGGACTGCAAGAGGGGTGGGTCAGATTGCCCCAAATCGTGATTGGACGGTTGATTAGGAGCATGCCACGAATAATTGCTAAATGTCTGAAGATTGGTGGAGCAATTACTCATTATTAAGACAAAAATCAAAAACGTCCATTTTCACTTTTGACGGTGTATCTCTTTGCGAGTGAAATGGGGCCGTCAGATAAGCCACCCATATGAACTGTTTATGTTCATGTGTAGGCAATTGGCCTGTTATTAACATACACTGGTTACCTCGAATGAAATCAGAAGTGCATTTCCGCAGTTTTGTATTGTTTCTGAATATCCCCTACTTTTTGTGAAGAGTATATTTGGGAATATAATAATTTTGTCAAAAAAGTGTGGCTTGTTCATTCCCATATTTTTTCAAAATTTGAGCGTCCTTGATTATCTTTTATGCCGTCTTACATTTTTAATAAAATGACACTCGAGTGGTCGAAGGGGATACATCCTAAAAGATTAACTCAGATCATTGTTTGCCATGTACTTGTAAATTTAACCTAGAAAACATGACCCCTTTTCTAGATGATCCTTTTAAAACAATCGTAAGGCCTCGTGCACCTATGATAATATATTTTAACGTAAATTAAAGCTAACAACAATAAAACTCAGACGTTGGAACATCTTAACATAACTGTACCGCCAGAAAATTAATGGGTCAATAAAATGCACTCAGGATTAAGGTTGCATTTTGTCCCTTGTTTTAATTCAAATAGGGTCCCTTCCATCGAAATTATTGCTGGTGTAAGTAAACAAGGAATTCTTTTGAACTGAATTGTAATTTTTCGAATTCCATCTACACCACACACTTATTGTTATTATATCTTACATTTACAAACTTTTGTCAAGTCACAGTGAGTGAGCGCTGGCGGAGTCGCTGTTGTTCCTTGAAACTTCTTACTAAATATTGGGGGCCGCCTGGCATTAACACTAATCGAGAACTTTTTGTAGTATAGACGGGAAGTAATGGTATCGGAAAGGGTCCTCGGAGATTGTGTTGTATTAACCCCACTTCCTTCTTAAACCAACAAAAACCTAAAAAAAACTACCCTTAATTTTCTTTCTGTCTGGTTGGGGAGGGGTGGGGGACTCCTTACCTAACCACATGGACTCGCCATTTTTATATCTTTAGATTAGACTTAAAGGGTCAATTTGAACAGCTTTATGTCACACTGTCACTTCATATCTGATGAATTTTTTATTCGCCAAGTTACTAAACATTGGATCATGTTTACTCTTAAATAAACAAATCAGTTGGTGACCTTCTCTGATAAGGTCTGTTGTTTTGTTCGAAAGATTCCGAGGGTTTGTCGGTCTATATAAAGGAGGATTATCACTTAAACTATTCAGTTCTCCTGTTTCACATATAGTTGACAAGATGTTCACCTTAGTTGGAAGTCTCGTCATTTTGGCATCTCTGACAACCGCAGTGCCATTGAACACCTGTAAGGATGTTTTGAAATCAGCTGGATTGTCTAGTAATTTCAATGAAACAATCGCCCATGCCATCCATTCAATGAATATGGACGCACTGAGAATGTTTAATCCTGATGCTACAGCAGAAAACAATATACCAACAGTGAACCATGATCTTAGCCATGAAGATAAGGTACGTGCATTAAATACTAGTATTCAACATAATATCGCACAGGGCACAGGGCCATAACCCTCTTTCTTTTTACTCAAATCAAGTTTTACTCAAAATTCATTCGCTACATGCATGTGTAGCTTTTGTACCCACTTTATAAAATTAAAATGATATCGACATTTCTTTTAACATAGGGAGACTCACAAAACACTTCAACACATACAGGCAATTTAATCGCCCATATAGCTTTGACCTAAAAGGGAGGTAGGGTGCCACATTAAATTTGGCTTAATAGACTAAATACTACGATCACTATAGCCTGGAATCAGTAAGGAGTTGAGAATTCTTATGAAGAATTAAAATATGAATAACCCATAAATGAAGAAATAAATTCAAATGGGTTTTATCGAGGGTTCTTTTACGTGTTTGCGCATGTTTTTACGGTACCCAAGTTTTTAATACTTGCTAGGACATCTGACCAGTATCAGTGGCAAAGGGAGACCTTGTAAAAGTTCGATGACCCCTCTCAGCCAACACCAGGACAGCGATCCAGTGACCTACGCTATGGGCCACCGCGACTCACTATAAATGAAGAGATGGGTAGTAATAATGTCGGCGATACAACCTTGGGGGAAGCAGACGTTACATAAAGCTATCTATAACACAATAATAATGTTTAGAGAAAGGTTTTCGCAGATTCAGCTTTTTCTATCTCAGTTGCTTAAATTTGTAACCCCAAAGTAGATCCCCAAAATATAGCCGCTTGACATTTCTTTTTAGACTTGTGTTCGTCAGACACTTAAATTCAGATGGGCGTCAACAGAGTCACATAATGTGGGGGTTTTTTTTGTTGTTTTTTTTTTTACTAAATTTGGTTTTCGGAATTTTCTGTCTTAGTTTTTGTTCCCTCTGTGGGTATTGAATTATGTCTCTTCTTTTGCAGTCTATTTTCCTACTCAGGCTGCCGTCTCAGACATCTAATGATTAATAATATATTATTTTTTATACATAATTCTAGGTCCTGCCATTTGCACCTGAAGAAACTTTAGGCGAAGACTTCTCAACACACCCTATGAACTTGATCGATAAAATCTTATCAAATTTGGGTACACCCAATGACGGCCTTGGACCCAACTGGTCACCCATCGAGCGAGTTGCCCACGTATTCCACATGTGGGATCTTTGGATGAAAATCCGCGCCGTCTATAACGATGTCGTTCCACAGAATCCAGATCCAGAAGTTTGTTCATGTCTTTTGGACACCGAGAAGAATGGAATCCGTAAAGCCGTCCAGTGGGTTGCCGATCACTACAAGACAGGAACACCAATCACCCTTCTAAACCGACCAATTCCAAAACTTGTTGATTCCACATCCTGGACGACCTGGAAGAATCGTTTGCTCCATTATTACACACCACAAGCCCTGGCTGATGCCGCTAGATTTATCCAGTGCACCACACTTACAAATTAATAAAATTTATTCGAAATATTTGTGAGGCTTTTTCTCTGGAGGGTGGGCGTGGTTTGATCATGGATATGGAATCAGTAGGCCAGTCGTTCAACAGGGGTGGAAACCCACCAGCTAAATGCTTTTGACAGTAAAGTTCTTGTGACGTGGATCTAGAAATTTTGCCGAAAGAGCGAAAGCGTCGCAATGGTAGGCTTCATACAAAAAACCCACAAAGCGAATAGTTCTGAGTTCATAGTGGATCAATTTGAATGAAATTTTCAGCAAATTGCCTTTATGTTATCTAGTTTTTATACGCCCACATTTTCATGTGGACGTATATTGTCGTCGCCCCTGGCCGTCCGTCTGCCCGTCGGTACACAATTGTTTGTGAACACTCTAGAAGTCATAATTTTTATCCGATTTCAACGAAACTTGAAATACAGGCTTATCCCTCTAAGATCTCGGTCCTTTTCGATATTGGCATGTATCGGACTGTAACTTCATGGATTATGGCCCTTGATTGTACGAAAAATCACGTTTTTAGCTTGTGAACACCGTAGAGGTCACAATTTTTTATCCGATTTGGTTTAAACTTGAAATATATGTTTATAACCCAAAGATCTCAGTTCCTTTCGATATTCGCGAATATCGGACCATAACTTCCTGTTTGTACGAAAAACCGCGTTTTTAGCTTGTGGACACTATAGAGGTCATAATTTTTATTCGATTTAAAAAAAACGTTTTAGTATATCACCGTTACACCCTAAGGATGGCTTATTCGCGCATATCGGACCGTAACTTCCTGAATTATGTCCCCTGATTGTACGAAAAATCCCGTTTTTAGCTTGTGGACCCTATAGAGGTCATAATTTTTTATCCTTTTTAAAAAACGTTTTAGTATATCACCGTTATACCCTAAGGATGGTTGAGTTCGATTTTCGTGAAAATCGGCCCAAAACTGACAGACAAAATGGCCGCCCCTCGTTCTCAAATAGCGTAAAAAATATGTTATATCAAGGTTGTGGACCCTCTAGAGGTCACAATTGTCTTCTGATTTTGATGGAACTTGAAATGTAAGTTTCCAAAGATCTCGGTTCCTTTCGATATTCGTGCATATCGAATCGTAACTTCCTGAATTATGGCCCCTAATTGTACGAAAAATCGAGTTTTTAACTTGTGGACCCTATAGCGGTCAAAATTCTTATCCGATTAAAAAAAAACGTTTGAATATATTACCCTTATACCCTAGGGATGGCTGAGTTCGAATTTCGTAAAAATCTAACCAAAACTGACAGACAAAATGGCCACGCCTTGTTATCAAATAGCGTAAAAATATGGTATATCTATGTTGTGGCCGCCCCTTGTACGCAAAAAGTGTAAACATATGGTATATTAAGGTTGTGGACCCTCTGGAGGTCACAATTTTGTGCCGATTTTGATGAACCTTGAAATGCATGTTTATAACCCAAAGATCTTGGTTGCTTTCGATATTCGCGCATATCGGATCGTAACTTCCTGAAATATTGTAAATATATGGTATATCAAGGTTATGGACCCTCTAGAGAGAGAGGATACAATTTTGATCCGATTTTAATGAAACATGCGGTACGGTAACTACGGTACGGTAGACAAATTGTCGAAATGGTCTAATGATTGGGGATTTCGAATATCTGTATGCTCTTCTGTATGAAACTGGAATTGAACAATATCCGAATTGAATTTAAAGATCAGACAAAGCTTCTAGGGGTGACCTCTGATTGCAAAATGACTTTTATACCACATATTTAAAATATTGTTAAAAGAGGACAGAATGTTCTGAATGTAATGTGATGCCTGACGGGCATATCCTGGGGAGCAAATAAAACCACTCAGCTAATGATATAGGTCCATGATAAGATCAATAATATGACTATGGCTGTGCACTCGGCAAACCTCGGCAGATTCGGGTATCCTACATCTAGCCTCGGCTGTGTGACAGTAAGTGATATGTACCTACGCCTATACATTTGCGATGCGGCACCGGTTTACTTATAAGGGAAACTTGCCCGCGTTTAGAAAGAAGTTCTCAAAATTGCGTCGTTCGAAGAGTGTGTAGAATTTTCAGTGCAAATTTGTCCTTGTCTAAACTTGAAAGAAAAACAGCTTCAAAATTTTGTAAGATAAAACATTCTTCAAATACGTCGTCATCAATGACGTCATTGGTCGTCATGGACAACGCCATTGTAATCCGGGAACTTGAAAGTAGTTCTAATGGCGGACTTTGTTATACGGCCGAGATTAGATGTAAGGTACTGGAATCTGTTGAGGTTTGCCGAGTGTATGGCTGTGTTGCTTTTGCGAGTGCAAATAAAATAGCTCTTTCTAAACTAGACAGTTTACAATATCAGGCAATAAAGATAGCATCGGAAGCTTCATCTGGCAAAAAATAGGAAAGTCTATTGCAAGAAGTAGGTGAAATGTCTTTCGAATTGAGGCGCAACGAACTAACATCTATACAGCAGAATTAAAGGCAGTGTCCACAGCTCTTAAGTGGCTTGTGTCATCCACCGTTTAAAGAGCAGTCATTGTGTCAGACCCCCTAAGCAGCATAAACTCGATAATACATGACAAAACAACACCTAGACTAGAAATTGTTCAGAATATTCGAGCAAGTGTTTATTACCTCCGAAAAAAAAAAATAAAACCGTAGAATTTACATGAATACCATCTCATGTTGGCACACTGGGCAATGAGTCTGCAGACAATCTGGCTCACAAAGGACCCAGCTTTTGCGAGACCAAAGACTTAAAATGTAGCGTTCAGGAATTTAATAGCACCGTTAAAACTAAAATCAAATCAAAATGGAAAACTGAGTTAGCCAGAGGAATACTTTTAGATTCAAATTAAATAATGGAGGTTAATTACCCGTCGCTTAACATTAATTGTGTGTTAATTATAAGACTAAGAACTCAAGATTTAATTACTGACCATAAAAATAAAACAGTGGAGTGCGAATGCTCACATTTTAACCCCAAATCGTGTCGTTGTTGCGTGCAATAAATTGGAAGAGAAAAGACACCCTGTAAGAAGTTTAATGCAAGATGCCACTCTTCAATACCCCCTCCAAAATATACTTTTCCCTCCTCGGGATATGTATGTATGTCACCATCTTTATGCTGACGATACCCAACTTTTTGATTCGTTTATTCTTGGATCAGATCAAACAGAGGTGCTCATAAGCATGGCTACCAGTATCGGACAAATTAAAACCTGGATGAATTTAATTCACTTGAAATTAAATGCAGATAAAACCGAAGTTATCCTTTTTGGCTCCAAAACTCCATTATCGAACTTGTCAAATTTAAAATTCGACATGGAATTTCCGTCAACATCGGTGGTCAAAATTTAGGTATATTATTGGGTAGTGGTCTGACCTTTATAAAACAAGTTGATGATCTTTGTAGAAAATTCTACTGCCATCTGAAGAACATCAGTTCCATCCGCCATGTTCTCGCACAAGATTCGACTTCAGCTTTAGCGCGATCATTAATTCTATCGCAACTAGACTATTGTAATAGTCTTCTCACTGGCCTACCTCATAGCAAGAATGGTCACATGATCTCCATATCATTGCCACATTACCTCAGTTCTCAAAACCCTTAATTGGTTACCAGTCAGAGCCCTACTCTAAAGTACTCTGCCTAACATATCAGTGTGTCAGTGGGGGAGGTTCCTGATTACCTCATCAAATTAATTCAACGGTATATTCCAAAAAGACAGTTGTGTTGAAACAATCTCAATCAACTAGTGGTACCAAAGTGGAAACTTGCTACCTTTGGACAAAGAGCGTTTGCGGTTGCTGCCGCTGAAAGATGGAATGCATTTCCAGTTGAACTCCGTTTTGTGACTTCTTTATCAATCTTCAAATCTTGATTAAAAACTCATCTTTTCAAAATTCACTACAGAAATTGACAAAAAACTTAGAGCCAAAAGACATTTGTATAGTTGTATGCGCTATAAACACGATTTGTGGATTTGGCGCTTGACATATTATTATTATTTATTATTATATGTAATATATTATGAAGTGATCTCAAAATTCATAACAGAATCGGGAATTAACTGTTAATTACGAAAAAATGTAGTACTATTGTCTTTGCGACCATATTGTATCTTTAACTAATTATTAGATTCACACATTTATAGAAGTCATATTTCACGCACTCAAATGAATGACTGACACATAAAACGATTTATAAAACCAAAACATAGCCGATTCTGGGAGAAATCAGAATATCATGTTTAGCACTAATGGTGTAGAATTTCTACTGAATCATTTGGCTTAGTAACCAATCATTATAATTAATTACGTCATATTTGACCAATTTGATAACTGAAAGCCGAAACCTAAGGGTAGGATTAGGAAACCAACAGAGCTCGTGGCGTTCGACAGACAGCCGCTAAATTTGAGAGAGACCGCCGAGATTCAAGCGACACCAGCTGGGATGAGTAGGCCCCATTGATTTGTAGGAGAGCCATACGATGTAGGCAGTGCATATCAATCAATATAATTTAATTTGTGCTTGAAACTTTAATGCTATATATTGTTTTTATAAAATGTTTTAATTTGTTTTAATTGTTCTGTTCTGTGTTGCTGCTGGCTCGTCTTTGTCTTTTCGGGCAACTTTTATCTGGGAAGTCACACACATACAAAAAAACAACAAACCCTAAAGGACTGCAAACTACATTTAAACGCTGCTGTTGTGAACCGCTTTAAAGGACTTTTAACTATATGGAACTTATTGGACGAATAGTTTTTAATTAAATAATTCAAGGGTTCTGCTTTGTGGTTTTTACTGCGAGAGCTTCTTTTCCACATAAAGCAAGCGGATACTTTTCCCCCACGGGTTTTTGTTCTATCCGCACTGATAAAGCCAAACATCAGTCAGCTGGACCTCGTGCTTTAACTTGTTTTAATTATGGGAGGAGATGACCCACCCTCTCTTCTCGCGACAGTAATTTTTAAAAGTGTGATTTAATGTGACCTCTTGATAACAAGTATTTTTTTTAATTTTGTGCTTTTACCAATTTTCAACCATGATTTAAGTGTAAATAATTTAATTGAATTAACCTGTCCATAATATCACACTTAATGTATTGATTGGGCGCTAAATCTGTAGTAATCATGTACCTCCTGTTTTAACTTAAGGGACAACAAAGCTAAGACCCCAGATAGGATCAAACTAGAGCTTCATATATATATAAAGACTGAAGAATAATCAAAGTAAAAAAAAAATATTTGAGGTATTAACAGTGAAGAAATTAATTATAAGGTATTTTTTAAACCATCAAAATCTGCAAATGTAGCTTAATTGTCATTTCCGGTGTATAACCGTCTTTACGGGGTTGGTTGAGTACCTAGATTTGTTTTCAGATCTAGATTACTGAAAGGATCAACATTAATATCATTAGTAAGAATGATTCCAAATGCAAAGCTTGCATTGAGCACAGAACAGATTAGGCACTTGTAACCAGCAAAATGTTTAAAAGAGAGGGGGGGGGGGGGCACAAGAGTTCCTTTATAGTGTTTCCGATAATGTAGGTCTAATACTTTCAGTTTCTTGTCAAATGGTAAATGTTGCAACTGCCTCGCTTCCGTTCTATTTTCAGCATTATACCGAACGTTAAGTAACTGACAATGTATAAAATTCTCGCTAGACAATTATGGAATCAGTTCCCCACAAATGTTAAGGATATGGTCGTGAGTGGTGCCACGAAATACCCCTTGTATCCGCACACAGGTTAAGTAGCTGTTACCGTGATTACTATGCTTTAATAATAAATAACAACATATTGTCAATATTTTATTTTTAAAATGTTGACTATCGTTTCTGTGAACATCCTGCTGAAAGGTCTCTGGTCCGAGTGGTCTTATAATATAAAATAATTGGCCCGAGTGTTCTTTTGGGTTGGTGCGAGTGGTCTCTTTTTTGGTCCGAGTGGTCTTTAGTACGAGGTGTCTGGATACCATTCCGGAGCGGCACAACTGCAATTATAAAAAATAAAAGTAATCGACAAACAGCAGGCTAAAATTTACGTGTAATTACTAATTAGAAGGTTTGTCTGCAGAACGTAATATAAATTGTAATATATCTTAATACAATTTACACACTAACTGCATTTTCTTGTACGTAAAGCACTGTCACGACCGTGATAGGATTTCTGATATGATTCGAGAAAGGGTCGAACCCTCGTTTGAAAACAGAAACCCATGGCTCACAGTGTTTACTGTCACATTTGCTGCAAATCTTTCCAACAAATACAACAGAAACTTTACACAGTCTGGACTAACAGCTTTTAGGTTTGCGACTGCCTCTTCTGTTTGACTAAAAGCTGAGAGGAAAATACAAACAATCCGTTGAAGAGGCAGCCCAGGAAAGCTAGGGTTAGAAGACGTCCGCATAAACAGCTTTCGCCAACCAGACTAAATACGACCTTGAGAAATCCCCGCGGTTTTCCCTTTACATCCAACCAAACGCGCCCGTTTATCACGTGATATATAATGGCGATCGAGGTTTTATTACCAGAATTTATTCCATTTCTGATCGTCAGGTGTTTTTATACTTTACCGATCTTTTTAGGAGATATTGAACCCTAACATAAATAGTAAAATAAATATGTTACATATTTTATTTTATCAAAGAAATTCGAACTGTTGTCATGCTTTTTGGGATTATTTTTAAAAACTGGTCCCTTTCTATGCAAAAATAATGACGTTTTTCGCACGCCGTCAGCTTCCGGTAGACTAAAAATGAAAAGTAAAAAACAATAAAACTGATAAAAATGCCACCTACATCCAGTAAAAAACCTTTCATTCATGCAGCTCCAGAACCAGCTGTTGAGGTAATTATGTAAAAGATATTTTTCACGATGTACATGGTTGTGTTCATGTTGTTTCGTCTTGTAATTTATATAGCCAAATTTGAGACATATTATTAGTACATACTATTAGTAGTAGTACTGTAGTACTGGTCACTCACTGTATACTACATTTACTTACTGTCTGAACCATCGTAAATTTATTAAAATTTATTAAAATTATTAAACAAACAAAAATCATCTATTATTATAATAATATATAATGTTATGTAACAGGCTTTGTCTTACTTTAGCTAGGAAAATGTAGCTAAAATTTTAAAACGTTGAGATATATTGATACGTGCTTGTTTTTAGCAAGGATTGGGTGCCTGTAGCCTGTAGTTGATAATTGCACAATATAAACTGGATAACAAAAATTAATGGATTTCTATAATACAAACAGTTATAATTGTTACTTACTGTCTGAACTATCGTAAATTTTAAACAGATTTCTGGGTGGGGGAGGGGATGGCCGAATGGTTAGCACGTGCGCGCTATATCATAAGGCCTGTCATTGAGTCAACTGGCGTGGTTTCAAATCCCCGGTTGTACGTCCAGCCTCGTGAGTTTTCTCCGGGTCCTCTGGTTTCCTCCCACTGCTAAAGACCTCTACGGGCAAGCAAATTATTGAAAATAAAATTGAACCATGTGTTAGTCCCGAAATGACCTAGTTTGTGTCATGTGGATGTTAATCCCCATTTCTCTCTCTCTCCCCTAATAGTAAGTCTAATTGGAAAAGGAAGACTATCTGGTATCAAGCCAAATACAGTATCTATTTTTTTTTTACAGCAACCTATCCAACCCGGTCAGATTATAATAATACAACCAGGATCGCTGAATCTTCAGATAGGTCGAGCTATAGAGGGAGTTCCTCTTACCATACCTCATTGTATCGCCCGGAGAAACAAAAAAGCTGTTTCTAATGTTCCCCAGTCTTCAATATGGATTCGACAGGAAACTCTGGTGAGTAAAGATTTACATTAATTGTTACTTGAGTTATCCTGAGTAATGATTAGCTCTTTCTACTAACATCTGCATAACTATTATAATTATTATAGGTTTTATCTACTAATTTATTTTTTTCAGCACTCAGAAGCTAAACATTTAATGAAACATGGTCTAAAGGCCGCAGAAGATGTTCTGACAAATCGTGTGATGGAAAATGGAAGTATACGACCTTGTACATCTTATAAAGAGGTCAGTGGAATTAAATCCTAATGCTACTGGTTGTGAATAGATTATATTTTTATTTCATTGGTTGGTTGAGGGTATTTTAAAGGACTGACTTGTAGCTTTCAAATAAAGTGTATTATAATATAAAGCAGTGTTCCTAACCTAGGTCCATGATGGGGGTCTGTGAAAAACAATAGTGGGTCAGCAAAGTCAAAGTGATCAGGGGGGCAAAAAGTAGTCTGTGACAAGAGGTGGCCAGGTAAAATTAGGTATGAAATATTTGCTATTCAGTTATAATTTCAGTAGCAGATACCAGAGTCACATTAATAGGAATAGCGATCAACTATCAACTTGCTATGGGTTGATGTGTCACGTCTTAGATCAGAAATGGCTAATTATCAAAGATTTATGTGAAGAGTGGTCCTGATGCTCCTGTTCTGTGAAATCTAACTAAATAGAATAAGTACAGATGTGGGATGGTCGTCAGAGATTTGTAAAATGTCCCAAAGGATTTAATAGTGAAAAAAGGTGCGGAACCACTGGTAATAGACCTTGACAGGAGCGTGAGGATCAACATATATAAAGGAACTATTGAAAAAAAAACTACTGTTACTACTATTGCATGCCGCAACTCGGGAGTATTAGCATGTAAGGCAAATTAAATGTATAATCAAAATTGAGAATTGTGTTTACTTTAGTTTTATTTTCTTCTATTTATAGCTAGCCAATCATAATTCTACCGTACAAGCTGAGAGAACTGATATAAAAAGTAATAAAAGTTGGTCAGATACATCAAGTCAACCAGAATATCTCATTGGAGAAGAAGTATGTTATAGACTTTGTTTCTCGTTGGTCAATCTTTATTTGTAAAAACATACCTCTTCATATGTGGTCTTTACATGTATGACAAAATGAAGGAAACAGTTCAAAGTATTTCACATGTGGATTATAGTTGTGTCATCTATGCAAGTCATGAGTTCATTTTCATGATCCAAGTTAAGAGGCAGGTTTTCAGCTCTGTGGTTTATTATGTGTCAGGATTATAGTCAAACCAGATCTGTTATTATTTTGGAGTTGGTATGCCAGTCGATAGCAAAAATTCATAATCAAGCATCACCAATGTACATTGATCAAGATTCCTACAACTACATTTATTATCTTTATTTAGGCTGTACATGTTCATCCATCAGATAGATATATACTGTCATGGCCGATACAACGAGGAAGATTGAATTTACATGAAGGACCTGGAGGGTCGTTAACAGCTCTTATGGCTGATTTAGAATTAATTTGGGGAACAGCTTTAGAAAAAAATCTGGATATTTCCCTTGAAGATATAAAGGTATTGATTTGATAATGTTTAGGTCTGATTTTACGGTTAGATTTGCAAATGGTCAAAGGGAGACAACTACAGATTTGCAAAGCTCAATATTTTGACGAATACAAACAAGAGAGAGAGAGAGTCTAACTTCCACTCAACACAAACTAGGTCATTTTTGGATTAACACATGGTTCAATTTTATTTCAATAATTCGCCTGTGTGCGTACTGCGTAGGAGTCTTTAGCAGTGGGAGGTAACCGGAGGACCTGGAGAAAACTCACTAGGTTAGACTACAAACAAAAAGAAAGTTGCATACTGAATAACAACTTATACATGTAAGTTTGGTTAGCCCCATTCTACTGAAGCATCCTGCTTATAATATTTCTTTTAAAATGGAGAAAATTTTTTTTCACAATATCTAAAAATATGAATACTATAAATAATAAATTTAATAATGATTTCTTGTATTTTCAGTTGTATAGAGTAATATTATTAATACCTGATATATATATACATCAACATGTGAAAGCCATGGTAACCATGTTATTACAAAATCTGGGGTTTTCTGCCATCATTGTTCATCAGGTAAATATACAAGTCAAGTACCTACATGTTGGAGTATGTTTAAAATATGTTACTGGCATATCATGTACAGTACTTAAAGATAGGTTCCCAGAAAAGTATTTATCAGGTGGTTATTTCCAATAAAAGTATGGCAGTTTTGGTATATATGGAAAGTAGAGATATCCAATCTTATTAGAAAAATACAGAATTACCTGAAAAACACTCACTGAGCGTATACAGGACAAAAATGTCAGGGTTCCCCTTATCGACAGCCCAATGATTAGGAATATCTGCACACCTGACGTCAAAGGTTGCACACTGAGATTGAGCTCTTGATGTACATGTTGATAAACTTTATGAAGAGTTAGACGTACAACACTTTCTGAGATAAAAATCACGGAAAAAGACGTGGGCAGTGGATAATCCGAGAATTTAATTTGGATTCGATATTTGTAATAAATAGTCAGCGATTAAAGATAACATGGTCTTGTGTATGCAATGAATTCTCCTCCGACTTCGCACCCATAAGTCACGTGACACAAACATGACCTCTTTTGATTGATTTTTTATAGCAAGGGTATTCCTTGACAATTACAATGACTTGAGAAGGAATTGAAGCAAATTTATGATAAATTAATTTGTTTGAATATGTTTTTAGGTCAAATATATCATCAAATCACCCAGTTTGTACACAGGAATGTATCTTTAAAGCAATCTAATGATTACATGAACTGGTATAACAAGAATTTAAATGTAATTATTTCTACAGGAATCTGTTTGTGCTACGTTTGGATGTGGTATAACATGTGCTTGTGTAGTAGATGTAGGTGATCAGAAGACCAGTATAGCTTGTGTTGAAGATGGAATATCTAATAAACATACACGGTAGGTATTATTATTCCTCTATGTAACTTAGATAAATAGTCACGGATAACACCTTCACCTTTGCAGTGGTTGTGATTTTCATTCCATGATTATGCACACAAGCAGGCTCGCCTAATTAACCCTGCTGGATTTAAGATAAAATCTTGATTTAATTCCATCAATACCACATTGTTTATATATTTCAACATCCCAGTGTCTTTGAGATACTTTGCCATTCTTACTGATTTTAATATATTAGCCAATGAAATGTGTTTTGTTTTTGTTAGAATAACAATGGAATATGGAGGAGGAGATGTAACTAGGACGTTTCATTGGTTGCTAGGTAGAGCTGGTATACCATTACGTGATATAAATCTCAGTAGTTTGATTGACGGTCTCATTTTACAAGATTTAAAAGAAACATATTGTCATTTAGATCTGGTAGGTCATTTTCTGAGCTATTTTCATCAAAGGGTTTCTACGAATCTTCAATATCTCTACTACTCAGTCAAGAAAACTATTGTACTTTAATGATACCCAATAATCTGTGAAAGTTTGGATTCGTATTGATATTAGGATCAAATTTTCATCTTTTTCCACAACTGTTTTTTGTTATTATTGCTTATCCTTTTGTTACATATAGTAACTTGTTAGAGCAATAAAATATAACACAAACTTATGGAAAAACAATTACTAATTTATACAGGCAACGTTTCAGTCTCTTAATATTTTTAAACATGTTAAATTTTTAACACCAGATATAATTTTATGGATACACAATTACCGAGTTTAATACTAAGCGACATTTCAACGGGGATACTCTCATCTTTATCAAGCGAATGATACAGGTATGTGAATAGTGGACAAATATATTCAGAATATGCAACAAAAATAACAATCAAATACAATTAAAACTTATACTGCCTATAATAGTTTCTGCTGTGTGGTTTACTTGTAAATGGTCCCTTAATAAGTTTTAATTGTATTTGATTGTTATTTTTGTTGTATATTCTGTATACATTTGTCCACTATTCACATATTTGTATTATTTGCTTGATAAAGACGAGAGTATCCTCGTCGAAACGTTGCTTAGTATTAAACTCAGTAATTGTGTATCTATAAAATTGTACCTTGTATTAATATGTTCATTTACTAAATGCCTATCAAAGATGATAATTTTTGTTTTATTTTTTATTATTAATTGGTTGCAAAAGGATCTTGAATAAAGGTTTCGTCTCATATTATGAATGATTTTATTATTTTGATTTTATTATCTTGATATTCTGTGTTCAGGATGTGTATGGTATCTTGGATCAGGTTGTTGAAATAAAAAAAGTACAGAAGAATGCTGTTCATTATAACGTAAAGTTAGGTGATGAGTTAGTTCTTACACCATTAAGTTTACTTCATCCTGAGATGTTTGGTTTACATGGTAACAAGTTAATACGGGTACAGAGTAGATATGATGGTGATCCAGATGATCCCCATGATGACCATTTCCTTGTACAAACACAAAGACAACAACGTGAGGTGAGATAATGTTCAATGCAGTTTTGTTTTCCTCTCTGTTTTAGGTACAAGTCAGGCTATAACTATTGTACTAAAAATACATTTAGCAGGTCTTTTGTTAGGCCTTAAATGTTATCAAAATTATTAATTGGACATTAATTAACTTATCCAGACCATAATCAACTCTTGATGTCGTCAGATGCCTCCAATATTTAGTGGATTTGAATATGTTTTGTGGTGGATGAAATAACCTTAAAAATGGATTATTAAGATTTTGTTTATTATCGCAACTATTGTAATATACAATCAAAACTAGCCTAAAATTAACTATTATAGCAAGAACTGTCAGCTCTTTATCTAATCTTACATAATGTCCCTTTAATGTATGATCAAGTCTAAACTGTCAAATACAACTCTGCTAGCATCAAGGTCATAAGAATAAATAAGCGATTTCACCAAAAGATTTAAAATTTCACCATAAGATTTAACAAAAAAACTATTTCACCATATTAGATTAAATAAACAATTTCACAAAGCCATTAAATACATAATTTATCATGAATTTAAATAAACAATTTCATCATGAATTTAAATAAACAATTTCATCATGAATTTAAATAAACAATTTCATCATGAATTTAAATAAACAATTTCATCATGAATTTAAATAAACAATTTCATCGTTAAATTAAATGAATAATTTCATCATGAAATTAAATGAATAATTTCATCATGAAATTAAATGAATAATTTCATCATGAAATTAAATGAATAATTTCATCATGAAATATAATGAATAATTTCATCATGAAATATAATGAATAATTTCATCATGAAATATAATGAATAATTTCATCATGAAATATAATGAATAATTTCACCATTAAATCAAAAATACTTTCACCATAAATTGTAAACAATTTTACCATGAAATTAAAAAAATAATTTCACCATAAAAGTAAATATACAATAATTTCTCCATAAAAGTAAATATACAATAATTTCTCCATAAAAGTAAATATACAATAATTTCTCCATAAAATTAAATAAACAATTTCTCCATAAAAAATCCATTTCATATTGAAAACTAAATATATCACTTGAAAGTTGGTTCTTTTGTTTATCAGGCTGCAAAACTTGGTGGATCAAAGAAAGGAGCAGAAGAACCAAGAGATGCAGACGCTAATTTATCACAGATGGATGACAGTCAGTTTGTCACGACCATGTCACAGATGGACGAAGATTCCAATGAAGCCCAGGATAATCTCCAAACAAATGAATTAAATAAATCGGAGAGGAGAAAAGATTTAGATGATGATGACGAACAAGAAGAAGGAATAGTAACACAGTTAATGGGAGTTGATGAAGCCATTGTATATAGTATTGAAAAATGTAGTAAGTTAATTAAATTAATTTTACTTGTGGAATCTATAATTGCTGGGTGTGTTGCAGTATCCTCCAACTGGGACAGGTGGCTAAGTGGGTATGACGCTGGCTCGCTAGCCTGGAGGTCGGGTGTTTGATCCCTGCATTGGCCAAGAAAGTTATCCAGATTTTCCGGCGTGGTTCTCCCTTGTCAGTGATGCAGGACGGAGGGCCTGACAAGGACAGCTGTCTAGTCGTTCGGATGGGACGAAAAACCGAGGTCCCGTGTACACATTGGCATGCACGTAAAAGATCCCCTGACAGTTGGAATTCGATGTAAAAGTAGGCCGTAGGGCCGCTGTTCGGGCAAAATTTCCCTCATAGTACACTGTATGGCGTATACCCGTCTTCATTAGCCCAGTTTGGAGCAGAACAGTAGGACGTTAAACCCCATTTCATTTTAGGAAATAGGAGTTTTTACGAAAGTATACTTCTTCATTTATTGTTGACACAGAGTTGAGAATGTACGGCAATAAAAACAAAATAGAGAAGTAAGAGAGTAGTGCTTATAATTCCAGTATTCTAATTATTTGACATTAGATTAGAGTTTTATCAACATTTATATATTGAATTGAAGCTCTTTGTAGGCAAGATTATAGTGGAGTAGTATTTCTCCAAGGACATCATTTATTTAAGAATAGATAATAGTTGATTAATATTTCAGGTAATGATGATATCAAGCGTAAAATGTATAGTTGTATTTTAATAATTGGAGGTGGAATGAGTTTTGACGCAGCTCAGAAATGTATAACAGGTCGTATCTGGCCTCAGATTCCACACTATCAACGACTACAGATGGATACCATGGATGTACTTACACGACCAAAGGTTAGACTGATTCATGTATTGCTCCATGTAGACAAAGTTGCTGTGGTACTGCTTGTTACTCCGCACCTAGTTGGTGCATTGAACTAGGATGTTAAGCCCCATCTCATTTCATTTCTGGCAGTTGCAATTCTGTTCCTCATCGCAGTTGTTTCCCTTTGATTGTATCCACTTTAATTTTATTAATACAAACTTGAACCTTTATTTCTAGGATGTTGACCCCAAAATAATCTGCTGGAAAGGTGCGGCTATTTTGGCATGTTTAGATACTGCTCAAGAATTATGGATTCATGAAAAGGAATGGGAACAGTTTGGTGTAAGGTTATTACGTGAAAGAGCTCCATTTGTTTGGTGATTAAAAGTAAAGAGAAACTGTGACATTTTTAATGGAATGACAGAATGGTGAAGATGAAATGGTACCTGAATTTTACAAAATTCAGAAAAACAACTTGTAAATTGGAACCAGAATGGATATGAACGATTTATTTTGAAGCATTTCAAAGTGGTTATTTGAATAATGGATAAATGGTTTATAAAAATACAATAAAAGAAATACCACAAGTGAGCGTTTTGTCAGTGCAACAAGAAGAGAAGATGAAACCAATCTTATGCAGCTATTACAGGAATATACTGTTAAGAAAAAAGCAGTGTTCCAGACAAAGACTATATATTATTGTGACTGTAATTTCTCGGGGGCCAGGAGTATTACATGCTATAAAGACAAGCTAAATGTGTGTGGGGCCAAACTTCAAATTAGATCCAGGAATACCCCAATAACAAACTGCTTTAAAGCCATGCTTAATAAATGTGGGACCAAATTTCAGTTCAAGTCATGAACACTTCTACAAGGAATGGCTATTAAGGCATGCTTTATGTAGGGCCAAATTTTTAAATGGTCGAGGAACATTCCTACAACGAAATACTATAAAATCATGCTATCTGATTAAAATAAAGATCTACATTTCGTTTCGTTTTTTTTTATACTTTCGATGGCCTACACTACATGAAGATCTGACAAGTTTTTTTCAGGGGTCAAAAAAACGACTTATGACCCTATGATGTCAGACCAATCAGCATTGATGTTACTAGTGGATTACCCACAGTTCCGTGCAGAACACGCCTAAAGCTCGCCGTAACAGACCGTTTCATTGGCTTATCCCTGACACCATTCAGAACACGAGTTAAATAACAACTCTTCCAGATCCAAGTGTAGTAAAGACAAGTAAAACGAAATTTTGAACTATAAAGACGAAACGATTGTTGTTAGTTGTATTTTATGTCCGCTTCCACCGAGGTGATATCGTAGACAAGACGACGAAACGAAATAGGATCTGTGTTTTAACCAGATTGTAAAGACGTGTAATGTATGTGGACACTAAATATTTATCTCTAAATATCTACATGTTTCTTTGCCTGGCAAGCTATATTGCATCACAACAATAAATGATATAAAAAATAAACAACTATTTTCTATATTTTATTTGATCTTACATCTGTTTCTAGCTTGTGACAAGTACTAAACAGTAATAATAATAATAATTTCAATGGTAGTCTTGTGTTTAACTTTAATTTTACACCTGTGTTACTTCACCTTATGTTATATTTTAGCAATTTTGACTTTCTAAATTATAATTTTACCCTTCATGATTACTCATATTATATTAAATGATAACCAGTATTAAGATTTTTAAGACATTCAGTAATTATCTGTAAGGTGTAATAAAATTTGACTTTTAATATTTCAATAAAATAGTAAGGCTTTTAAGGGGGTTGGGGGTAGGGTGGATGACTCAATGGTTAACGCATGCATGTTGCATCATAAGGTCTGTCATTGAGTCAAGTGGCGTGGTTTACATTCCCCACTTGTATGTGACAAGGAGTAGGGTTGTCTGGCCAACCTTGTGGGTTTTCTCCGGGTCCTCTGCTCTCCTCCCATAGCTAAAGACCCCTAAGCAGAGGCGAGTTAATGAAATAAAATTGAAAAATGTGCTAGTCCGGAAATTATCTAGTTTGTGTCGAGTGGACGTTAATGTCGTTAAACCCCATTTCTCTTTCTCTCTTTAAGAGGGTTACTGATGATTAATGTACTACAGTGTTGCAAAGGCATAAGCCAATGGACAATAGATACTAGATGATCGTGACAAAACTTGGCTTTGTCGGTACTTCGAGTTTATTCCATCAATATCAAATAATGTTGCGGAATAGGAGTGGCTGGTCGTACAGATTCTACTGTAATTACTATTACTCTTATTTTATCTAAAGTTAATAATTTATTGAAATATTAAAAGTCCATTTTAACCCCACAGTTTTTAATCGGATTGAAAATAAAGCTTGATAGATAATTACTGAATGTTAGTTATTTTAAAACTAAAATATTTACAAGTATATCATGAAGTGTTTAATTGAACTATTTACTAAAGTAAAAGAAATGAGTTGGTTTAATGTCGGTCATATTCGACACTGGCAAGAGCCCATAAAAGTCTTAACAGAAAGACAAGGTAGAACGTCCGTGCTGGGCACAGGCCCTGTCATACTCACTGTCCAGGTAGACAGGGGCCCAATTTCCTATTTCGCCTTGGCAAGAACTATAAACATTGCCTCCCTGAACCCCAATCTTTATACATTAACATAATCAGTTAAAGATTGTTCTAATCTGGCCTCTTGCTGATTTTTTTGTCACAAATACGACTGCTCAGTCACAAAAACCCACCAAAAACCCAATAGAGCTCGCAGGGCCGTAACTAGCTCAGAGCAACGAGAGTGGGGGGGGGGGTGTCTCAGGGGTGTTGTAAAATTGACGGACAATGTAAATCTGTGGTCGACAGTTTTTTTTTGCAGGGGCCCCCTTCGGCCAGCCACCCCCTCTAGTTAAGGGCCTGAGAGCTCCGATGTTTTGGACTAATAGTATGCCACTGTTTCGAGACATTACTATTGAGTACATTCCATGTGTAGGTGTAACTACATTAATTAGCCTTTCGGGGGGAAAACCTGTTCAGCAAGATCGCTTTTCTACCGTAAGTCTCCCTGTACGTGTAACGGGTACAGATTGTGTCGAATCTCTACGCGTTACTCGTACAGGTAGTGGAATCTTAACCTACTGAATATGTACAAAGCGTGTCTGGGTATTCATTCAATCAGTTATTAGTATCAGCACCATAATATGTATAGTCCGTAACGTTAGATAATCCTTTAACAGTACACGCACTGGTTGCACTCCGACCTGTAGTTAAGCCCGCTCGTTCCGTCCATTCATCTTTCTCCTCATCATAACATTCTACTATAGACGATGTGGTAGACCCTGGAATAAATATTTATCGTTTCATAATTAATTAATTAATTAATTCGATTCAAATGAAATGAGAAATACTATTGCGACATTCATGTAAGAAAGGGCCAAAGTTAAATTTTAAGCAAATATTACATGTGTGGCCAGGAGCCAAAACCTGGACCTGTATTTTCCGGAACTACATTTATTTGCAGTCTAACTATAAGATGGATAGATTCGCTTTGTCTCAGTTTATCCTTGATCCTTTCACAAATTGTTTATGCAGTAAATTGTATTTTGTATCATTTACAGATAAAACAATATAAACAAAACTATCAAAGGAATTATTTAATAACTTTAATTAAAATTTGATCTTTCTTCATTCCGGTTTCAATTTTGGTTGGCCTACACAACACTAGGTTTTCTTCTGTAAACAGTATATATATATATATATATATATATATATATATATATATATATATATATAAAAATACGAAATTATGATCTGTGACCTTTTCCCTGTTTAAAATCTTGAAGTTACCTTAGTTTTGGGAGCCAAGATCATATGAACGTATAGATCATTTAAACGACCGTAGTGTACGAATACGTTCCGTCCCGACTTCTTCAGAATTAAACCATATTGACGTGAATCGAAAAGTACATACCATTAAAACCACCAAGACTAACAATCTTTCCTTGTAACAAAGTGACAGCAAAATTACTTCTAGCTAATGACATGCTTCCTACCATTACCCATCTCTTCGTATTAGGATCATACCGCTCAACTAAAACCACAAAAAGAGACTAAAATGGAGTATAACAAAAACAAAGTCATTTTTATTTCAACAAATTGAATGAACAGGATCCTTTGTACTGGGGTGTGGGGAACCCCACGAGGTTTCTAAGAATTGGATCGAATGACTGGTCGGATGATCCGAAATGAAATAGGATTTAACGTCCAATGACATAGGGGAAACTGAACTTGAGAATCCCCACAAACTTTTTCGGTCGAGTTCATCGTTACGGGAGAAATCACCATAGGCTTTCTACCAAAGGTTTTATCAGTATAATTTAATTTATTTGTTCCCGGACTACAAGAAGATATCGCGGCAAGTGTTTCTGAAAACACGCTTCGGTGTAACCTATTAGTGGCATGTCAACGCAACAAATAGTTTTCCCTAAACGTCCAGATTTACTAAAACCACATTAAGCCCCCTCCCTACACAGCTTTTCAATTTTTATACATGGACGCATTAATACTGACATACCCGTTTTCAGTCGCCTTGTCCCATTAAAACCTCCCATGGCATAAAGACGTCCATTCAACGTAGTTAGAGCTACCCCGCTTCTTTGTATTGACATGCTCTCCAAAGAAGTCCACTGGTTGTTGATGGGGCAATAAACTTCTGTTGTATCTAAACAAGTATGGCCATCAAATCCTCCACACACATACAATTGTCCTGTATTGAAAATTAAACAAAAATGCAAATTTTATTTACGCTTTGTCTTGATTTTTGGTAACTAGAAATTTATTAGGATCAACCGGTCGCTTTGTACTTGTTGTTTAACCGTGCTGAAGCCCAGAAATATCTAGCCTATATCATAGTATGATTTTGTGAAAGTGACTTAAAAACGGGCGGTGACATACGACCATAGAGAGGTGTGTTAAGCTGGTTGCCATTGGATTGGATTTTGATCATTGTGCCGGTGTTCCAAAAATTCGTGAAAATAAGTGATCGCATAAAGATCCCATGCCAGATTTGTACAATTGGTTGTATGGCGCTTAAGAAAATCCGTAATCTCTTGACACTAATGACAGTATTATGGATTCATATCGATCAGGTTAAAAAGTTCTTACATTTTTCCATACTAAAAGTAGGTTAGAATCAAAAATAACATAACTTACCTTTTAATTCACTGACACCCGCATCACTTCTTACTGTTTTCATGCTCTGGACATAACCCCACTGATTTTCCACTGGATTGTATCTCTCTACAGAACTGTGTCTAGGATTGCTCGGACCTTCATATCCCCCACACGCGTAGATAAACCCGTCTAAAACAGCACAGCCAACATAACATCGTTTGGCATGCATTGGGGCAGCCGTAGTCCATGTATTGTCCACTGGGTCGAATCTTCTAACAGTGTTCACACAAGCATACGTTGTAAAGCCACCAATAACGTAGATATAGCTGCCAAACGGAACAAGAGCATGATACGCTAGAGGTTGTTCACCCAATGAACTCCTCATTGAATACCATTTGTTGACCCTTGTATCATAAGTTTCTATGTGACCGCAAACACTTTCATTTGTCCAGCCACCAAGAACGAAGATCACCTCGTGAGGGATCCGAGGTTTCAGTATGTATAATTTAGAAGCTTGGTAGAAGGAAAGTTTCGTATTTTGCTGTATTTGACAAAGAGAATAAGCTTGATTGAGAAGTTCTTTACATGTTCTTTGGGAAACTATGTCGTCGTCCGTAAGCACGACATTATCAAATGTTCTCTTTTCCACATATGCAAGTCGTATACAGGAAAGGAGCTGAAAAAAGTTCCGACGTCTTTTGCTTTTGTGATAATCAACCCATTTCATGATCGCTGAACATGCCGCGTCTTCATTGGGTAGATTTAGTTTATCATCTCTGAGAACGTCACACAGATGCCCGACTGTGAACTGAAGAAACTCAGTACTGCTTTCCACTATATTATGAAAGTTTTCAATGATATATTTCCAAGATTTTTCGACCAACCCATGGCAGTGAAAATGGTTAGCAAGATTCCAAATCCCGATTACATTCTGCGGGTCTGTGTTATCATGAAGGTAATCAACACACAATTTCAGCAATCCAAAAACATGGAGTCGGTCAGCAGTCATCAGAATAGATTCTATGTTTTCTGGACAAAGGTCGGCAGTATTGGTGTACGCAAACTTTATAACAGCGTCCATGTCCTCGCGTGAAATTCCCGGAAGCTTTACTTCAATCTGTCTGGATTCTGCCAAAGCTGTTGTGAAGAGAGATCGAAAGAAAGGACTGCAACTGGCCAAAACATTCCTGTGGACTGAGATTGGGCACTCGTTCTGATTGGATAGCTTGATCCTAACGTCACAAAATAAACCCTGTTCTCGCATGTCTTCTAATTGGGCATTGAAATCTTGGAAAACAGACTTCACACTTTTTGTCTTCGTTTGTGCCATTTTGATTTGATAAAAATTAAAAGGCAGTTACCAGCACTGATGAGATCCCAAATCTGCCTGTGAAAACAAACACTGTTGCCAAGTGTAGAAACGTCATCGAAATAATGACGTAATTGCACACCGTTTTTACAAAATATTGCTTACTAAACAATAGCACCCTCAGTTCTTTTTCTATTAATATATTTAATGAAACGTTTCAGACATATTCTTTGCTATGGACATTATAAAATGAGACAGGATGGATGATTTGTCAGGCAGAACCACCTGAAATGCCCGAAAAAATTCGGGTTACGGATGACGGTGCCGGTCGTCTGCAATAGCCCCGCCCCGCCAGTCAAACTTATAAAATTACTTGATAAGTATAGGCACTGTTTGACTATTTGTAATGGTAAACTATTTCCACGTAGTACAATTACAAGATGCACTAAGTATAGACATTGTTTGCAATGGTAAACAATTTCCACGGAGTACATCTTGGATTTCATTAAGAACAAGTAATCTTTTATAAGCAGAACTAACCTGTCTTACTGTAGGATTATTAATTTTTCTGACATATCGGTAAGCATGGGGCGAAGAAAAATTCAAGGTCAAAGCAAAGCTTCTTAATTGTGGAGAATATGTCACGGGTACAGGTTTATCACTCTTAATTCCTAGCAATTTCTCTTTCAACAGGCCAGTAACACCACCTGCGCAGATTTCTAAGACACTTTAGAAACTATTAGTACTTAAGAGATCGTTGCTCCTTAAATCTGTGATAATATTCAGTAAGTTAGCGGTTCTCTTCACAAGACGTCTTTTAGCCTGAACGTGTACCTTAATTTTCTTTCTTGTGGATATAGTTGTGCCTGAATTACTTCGAACATGGGGGGTTGGATGGCCGAAGGGTTAACACGTGCGCGTTGTATCGTAAGGTCTGTCATTGAGTCAACTGACGTGGTTTCGATTATTCGGTTGTGCATGACAAGCAGTAGGGTCGCTTGTTCAACCTCGTGGGTTTTCTCCAGGTCCTCCGGTTTCCTCCCGTTGCTAAAGACCCCTAAGCGCAAGCGAATTATTGAAATAAAATCGAACCATATGTTAGTCTCAAAATGACATAGTTTGTGTCGACTGGACGTTAAATCCCACTTTCTCTCTCTCTACTTCGAGCATTCTTTTTAGGGTTGGCTTATCGGGAGTCATTACTTTGGGGTTCTTATCATTAAAAGGTGCTCTTCGTATAGGTGATTTTATCTTCCGCGCTGGTATTTGCTTAAGATATGAAGGAAATGCTTCAAAAACACTGGTATCACACCATCTCTCAATCTAATACACGATTTGGATGTTCGGTCAACATCTTCTTCACTGACGCGTTTGGAGCAAAGGACGGCAGATTTAGATGGCACAAAATCTTTTCTTCGTGTTGTAGAACCTCCTCACTCGGAAACCTAAAAATTGACGAATTACAATACAAAATTATAAAACTATTTTAACGCCAGCAACGACTGAGTTGGTGAAGACGGGCGTACGCCATCCAGCATTGCTACAATATTTTACGTGAAAGCATGTGGTGGAAGCATCTGTTCAAGGGGCCTCGGCTTTTCATGCTACCCGAAGGACAAGACAATTACTTTGCCGAAATCAAATATTTTACTTCAGTTAAAATTAAAATGTATTTTATCGCAATTGTATAGATGAAATGGCGTCCGATGACTTCACCAAAATGACATCATGCCGCCTCCACTTCATAAAGCTTCTTGCTTGCAGTTCTTTTTCCATTAATATTTTTGATGAAACGGTTCAGACATATTCTTTCCTATGGACATTATAAAATGAGAAAGAATAGATGATTATAAATCACGAGTCAGGCATTGCATATTTCCAGTTGGGGGTTGGTGAACAATATTCGGGGGAGGGGGGATGTAAGAACTTAGGCGTTCAAGACGTTTGGAGGGGCGGAGGAGGGGGCAATGAGATTTTTCGGACAGACCGGTTAAGAGAAAAAAAAATATTATTATAACATGTTGTGGGGAGAAAACCCCTTTTACCTCCAGTCGTCAGAATACAGTGCCTGAAATCCAGGACTTTTTAATCTAGAGCCTCCCCGTATTCAAATCCGTGTAGTAAACAATGTCTAGCGCCACTCTGCTATATACGCGACATGTCAACTTTAATTTCAAAATGATTTCAAGGACATGGTGGAAATATATTCATCCTCAATCGAAATGAAATAGATGAAATATAGATCTCTAAACATTGTGGCGTTGGAAGCAAGGCATCTGCGCAGTCTACCTCGATCAGTAGGCTACAGATCTATGGCGGCTATGCTAAAAGTAAAATATGGTCATATTATTTGACAATTTCAGGTGAAATATTATTAATGCGTTCATTTCTCGTTAAAAGATAAAGTATACGTTTTAATTTTTCTTTACTTACTTATTATATGTAATCCCGTTTTTTCTATCCCGTTGAGTGCAACCGATAGCAAAGCAGGAATTAGAAAAACGCTCTTATGGCGTCCGATGACTTCACCAAAATGACATCATGCCGCCTCCACTTCATAAAGCTTCTTGCTTGCAGTTCTTTTTCCATTAATATTTTTGATGAAACGGAAATGAAATGAAATGAAATGGGGTTTAACATCCTACTATTCTGCTTCGACTGGGCTAATGAAGACGGCCATGTACCATACAGTGTGCAATGAGGGAAATTTTGCCAGGAGAGTGATGCTTCAGCCCACTGCTATATATTGAATTCAAAATGCCAAGGGATCTTTTACGTGCATGCCAATGTGTACACAGGACCTCCGTTTTTTTTTATCCCATCAAAATGTCTAGACAGCTGTCCTTGTCAGACCTTCCGTCCTGCACCACTGACAAGATCATGCCGGAAAATCCTGATGAACGCGAATCATCTTGAATCGACTATGATGAATATTATATTAATAAACCCGTAGATATAGCCAGACCAGATGCAGTGAGATAGGCCTTAAGTTTAAAAATAAAAGTATTTAAACCAAGAAATAATATATATACTCTTCAAAAAAAGTAGTGGATACTGAAATGCAAATACCTATGCAGGTTGTGATATGATAAATAGTCATGGACACTTGACATGCTTTGAGAGTATGTTCACAGATGAAGAACTTATCGCCCCAACAGAACCACTGAGCTCCACATGCGACACGCAATAGCGCCATACACGTGGGAGGGGTTCATTGTCAAATTTGACACTTCAAGGAAGGGTTCATGAAAACTGCCGCGTGCTGGTATATCTATCCATGTTTGCTTTCCTATCGGTTCTTGCATAAGATTTACTGTTTAGCTTTGCTTTAGTGTGTTACGTTTACTTTGATCGGGAGACGTGTTCGTCGACGTCAACGTCAACCGACAACACTGCAAGAATTAGCCGTGGCACTGCAAGATGAGTGGGTCAGATTGCCCCAAATCGTGATTGGACGGTTGATTAGGAGCATGCCACGACGAATTGCTGAATGTCTGAGGATTGGTGGAGCAATTTATTACTCGTTATTAAGACAAAAATCAAAAACGTCCATTTTCACTTTTGATGGTGAATCTCTTTCCGAGTGAAATGGGGCCGCCAGATAAGCCGCCCATATGAACTGTTTATGTTCATGTGTAGGCAATTGGCCTGTTATTAACATAAACTGGTCACCTCTAATAAAAACAGGAGTGCATTTCCGCAGTTTTGTATTGTTTCTGAATATCCTCTACTTTTTTTGAAGAGTATTTATACTAAATATCTGCCATTTATGATAAGTCAATGGTCTAGGGCTAGACAAACTGAATGTATGTCTGTAATTTGCCATTTGGCTCCATTAAAAGAAACCTCCCAGGCTGTAGACCTATGACTGGTTAAGATCATGAAGTCTCTTGAACCAATTCAACTTTATATAGTTTTTTTAGACTTTTTTTCTATATCAATCAATACAGATATTTACAATAAGTACACAAATTTTAAACAATTTCAATTAGGAGTCAGTGAGGGCCACATAGAGTTACACCAATAATTATTATTTATAGTCATATCCCCCCTCTTTGCTAAGAATGTCTTTATTGTCATATTTGGTTTGGTCTTCACTGCACAATTTTGTGGATCTGTGTTTGTTCATTTACATACCTAATTTTGCTAGCCATGAAACACAATTTGACTCTGATGGGGCGTGTCTACAGTAAACTCTGTACAGGACCACAATATCATAAAGGCTGATTCCTGCTCTTTATCGGGTGCATTCAGTAATATGTACAGATTGAAATTGGTTGAAAATCCTGCGAAATCTTTTGAAAGACTTTGATTATTGGGATATATGATTGGTTGTCCAGTTATGGTCATAGGACCAAAACTGGCTTATCTTAATGGTGTAACCATCCAAATAAGAAAAAGAAATAAGGTCTCCATGATTGCTAATACTGTGGCTCAGCAGTGGTTATAATTAGTCAGGAACCCAATATACTGGTAACAACTAATTGTCCTTATATAATGAACTGGGGATTACATCAGTTCACTTTGACATAATTATTATTTATTCAAGACAAGGTTTCTACTTGAAAATGTTGAATATAGATCAATATGGTTATAGCTGGTGGGAATGCAATACATGTATATAAGTATAGATAGTTACAAAGTCACCCAGCTGATCACAGTCACAGAATCTGAGAAGAGTGGATAGTTGTAGATAATTTGTAAGCCACAATGACAGCCCCCCTGCCACCCCCTTTAAGTCTGTAACCTCTCTAACTGCATAAATTGCAAGTTATTTCTATTGTGACTTTATATAATGTATTATTCTGGCTGCTTCCTTCCACCTAATAGCACAGTTTTTCCTTAGCTGCATCCATTCCCTCACTTGAACTCTTTCTCTACACAACTATTTTTTACTTGAATTCCCCACTTTAACCCAGGAAGACGAACCCTTTCCAAACACAGTCTTTTTCTAGCTGACTCTTTTCCTTAAACAGTCTTTGCCACACTGAAACCTTCTTCCAGCTGCATCTTTCCAGTGAACAGCCTTACCGTGTCCTCACTCCACAAACAGAAATAGAATTTGTGATTGCATAAAAAGTTAATGATCAAATGGCTTTTCACACTGAATCCACAGATGGCAACTTCAATCAAAAGAAATACTTTCAATCACCATTTTGATGCATAACTTTTTTCAATTTAATATCATGTGGTATTAAATGCTCACTATACAATCAAAAAGTCGATTTGTCATTGCAACAGCTCCCAATTGCTGATTGATTTCTTTGATCCTGGAATGAGATCCAGATTCCTGTGACCTCAATTATTCAGTTTAAAGCCGACAGAAAGAAAGAAAATTGTCCAAATTTAAGACAACAATCTGGTGTGGACTCGTACATAACAATATCACCTTCTTTCTCTATCTCAACTGAAATAATAATAAAGATATTCAAATATTTTAAGTTAATTGTAAAATCTCATTAACAGAATATTTCAGTTATTTTGAGCTAAATGGTAATAGTTTTGTTTTATACGTGCAGTGCTGGGAGAGTGAAGTTTGGCCAGAAAGAAGCTTTTCTGTCTACTTTATTTGAAATCTCATCTGCCAGTGTAGTTTCAATTTGTATTCAGAACCTTGGGATTTTGTACCATTTTGGGGCAGGCGCAGGGACAGGGTGGTTACCTTTGGTCTACAGTATATTCAATGTATATTGTTTGGTTTTTTTCCAGGGGAAGGATATGAGTAGTGCCCCACTGTACCTTGAACAAGTAAAAAAGTTCTTCTTGGAACAGATCATGATTTACACTCTTCTTAACATATGAATCTGTGTCCTAAATGCAAAGGATTTTTAAACAAGCCAACAGTGAGGCTGATGTCCCTGTCACAATTTCAAAATAAATAGATGACACATACTAATCAAAACTACGCCAGATGACTCAATGCCAGACCTTATGATACAATGCGCACAAGCTAACCATTCAGCCATCCACAACCCCACCCCCCATTCAAGTATGATTCAAGGGCTATCAAAAGACATAACAAGAGATTGCCAGCTGCTTTCTTTCAAGAACCTAAACCTTTAAGTCAATATTTTCCATTCAATTCAAAATTAAAAACAAGAATTACAATTCAATATTTGTCCATTTCAATCAAAATTGATGTTATCTTGTCCTGAAAATATGGGATCCTAATATCCAATATTTAAGACATAATGAACATTTCGAAATCAATACACAGGTCGTGTACTGCTATGGTTTTGGACGCCATTTGTAATGAACAAAGAAAAATATTCTACAAGACAATGCAGAAGTAAAGTAATTAGTAATGATTGATTCACAAATGGTAAACTAATAATTAAATGTGGAGATTGGTCTAAGCTGACATAAACGACTGCCATTCAATTTGGACTGTTCACATAGTTGGACTGTTCACATAGTTTACCGAACATAATAGATTAGAAATTACAATCAAAATTAAGAATTTGAATACAAATCACTTTACAGACATTTATTTTACATTAATATGTGCTTTTAGACCAATTTTCATCTATTTCAAGATTCCAAAGAATATGCCCTTTAACAACATTGCTCTGTCTAAATTAATTAGTAATCTTCACCAAATGGTATCAGATTGCCTTTGCTCTATATTCAATAATAGATTCTAATTTATTTGTCTGATTATTTTGTGGAGACAAAATTACATCAATATCTATTGATATATAATTAATGAATATTCTCTCAAGTACTGAGTGAAACATATATTTGTCAATTTGAAATATCATTATGTCGAGCAACATGTCATTTCAAAGAAAATCAATACATTTATCTAGAAAATGAATGTCATACTAGAATTCAAAACAAAGCATTGACTTACACTAAGAAAGGAAAGCAAAGAAATTTAACATTTCATCATGACAATACTTTGGTGATTTTCAGTCTATCATTAGTTTTGTAACAACCTTCAATCAAATACCCCAAATCATAATCTCAAATAATTCTGGAGATCAGAATTCTCAAGGATTTTGAGTCAATAAAGGTAAAAAATTCAATAAAAAATTAACAGAATCCTACAAAAAATGTGAATTAAACTCTGCTTTATACAGCGGGGTTCCAAATTTCGATCAAATAACTTGAAGATAAAAAAAATTCGGACAGAAAGAAAACCTAGGCGGCTAAGTTAGAATTCCTCTGATCCACACTGTATAAATATTTGAAAATTCAATAATAGCTACTGCGAAATAGCCTCAAATGTTGTGCTAAATCTAATATGAACTTGTCTCAACTGACAGCATGATCAAAATCCATTAAATTGAAATTTATTTTTGTTCACCAACATCAAAGTAATGGCAAGAATAGACGATAGATAGATACAGACAGGGATGTGTGGAAGGATAATAGAAGAGCCAAAGGCAACACCATTCTCTGAATGTATTAATTAACCAGTTCAGGTCAAGAAATCTTGTGTAGGATGATCAGTTTAAAGAGAATGTTTCATTCATTTCAATCTGAGATAAAAAAGTGTAGACTATTGCAATCTACTTCATTAAAACTCTAACCCCCGAAAAGAGTGTTAAAAACATACACAGAGTATACCAAGTGACAGAATGGCAAACACAATTATAACCAGGAATATCGTTAACAGATCCGTTGTCTGAAAAATGATCAAGATTTATCTCACCATTTTGATAAGTCACAGGTTTTGAAAACAAGGATGTTTTTGAACTTGTTTTTCTGAGAATATTTTTAGTTACACATCCCAGATCTTGAAGAACCTGAAACAATAAATCTACACTTCAAAACACTGGCTAGATTAAAGAAATCTTACAAAATTTGCATGATCATGAACATTCCATTTGAAATTTCAATTATTTTACAGATCACTTCAGTTTTTTTGTCTCATCCAAATGACTAGAGATTATTCTTTGCCAGGAACTCTTGCACGACTGAACAATCTGATGAACTTTGTTGATTAGTGGATTATCATAATGAATTGAAAACCGTAACTCTCAATAAATTCCGGTAACTTCTGGCATGTTTGAATGTATTCTTGGACACCATCCAGGCAGTAGGAGAAGTTATTATTTCATGTTTTAGATTTTAGGCTGGATAATACAGTCTGGGGGTTTAATTCAATTAAATGTCTATATTTACTACTTTAAGGTTTATCATAAAATAAGTGAGATATCGAAGTCTATTGTCAAGAAATTTGATAATATGCTTTTAATGGTAATATAAGCTTCATACACAGACTAATTCATTTGATTTGTCTGTATAAGATTTATGCTTTGTCTGAATTTTGTATAGAGTTAATATTTTATTGAGTGAATGAATTCAATACAGATCTTCCAGGACAGGCAAATATAATTGAAATCCTAGGTTTTCAGTTTTCAGGACTTCAGTTTTTACCTCCAGTAATTCGAGTAGAGCAACCGGTTTGAGATATGGTCCAAATTTGTCTTCAATTGTCTTCCTTATACATGATGGATTGGCCATAACAAATAACAGAACACTCTCCAACATGGAACTAAAAGAACTACGATTCAGATGACCTTCTGGTTTCCTCCAAGGTCGACAGATCAAACGAACCTTCTCAAAATCACTGAAAAAAGAACTCAACAAATCTAAATTAAATTTATGGACGGTGAGGCCAGCCACAAATCTGAAGGCCAATATTCACCAGCTGTAACAACAACAACTTCAAGGCTCTAGAAACAGAAACCATAGTTTTAACACAACAAATAACATCTCAATCCTTGGCTTAAATGTGACACAGAATGTGCTTGGAGGTGTTGTCATTACAGTGGCCACTGTTATGTCGGATGGACATCGGTCTTAGCTTCCAGTCATGTGATTATTAAAATAAATCTTCAGTTTTAAGAAAGTTATTAATTTAAATATAAATATAAAGAATGTGCGGACCCATCAGGACTAAAACTTATGAAATTGTATAGCCGTCGTTGCAAAAGTGTGAATCCATTTCGAATTAAAATGGTTCAAATATTATTATCCAACATGACATATCATTTATGTCTCAGTCAGGATCAGTCATGAAAAGCCCAATCGTAACATTTCTACTTGCATATCACTCATAGATTTCTAATTTTATTAATCTAAATAACCTTGAAGCGTCTGTTTCTTCTTCAACTTTTGTACGAGAAGATCTACGTCTTTTGGCCATTCCTTCAGCTGCATCTCTAGATTCTTCTAGTTCTTCCAGGGGTCTTTTAACAGAAGATGAACCACTTGGTAGATCAGGATCAATTAATGGGATCTCTGAAACGTCAGGATTTGTAGGGAGGCTTGTGTCAGGATCCATGTGTACCTCATCCGTTTCTATAGGAACAATCTCAGGACTACTGGACATTGTTTCATGGGTATCACTAGTTGTTGATTCCGGTATTAAATTGATACTGTCGGATTCCTGAAAAATACATAAGGTAGATGGATCTGGGTTATGAAAATGAGTCCGAAACATTTGACACATTGGTCAATGCTATATATATATATGATAGATCACATCATAGTAAAATATGGAGAACAAAGAAGCATGCTCACTCCAAAGATTTGATCTGAAAGACAATAGTAGATCATCACAACCCTAAATGTGTTTAGTTTGAATCTATATACATGTACTATTTATCATTCTGGTACACAGACTTCGACCCACACCCACTCACTATAGCTCCTGCCTGCCTCATCTGTTCACATCTGTATTGTGAAGCGAAAGTACTGGTTTTTAAACATATCAATCAAAATTGACACATGACAGCAAGAAATGTCATATTTACTCTGATAATTAGGCGATCTTATTTGATAATTATTATAATTACTACGTACAAACCACATGTTTTCGAATGGAGGCAACGCTGGGCTTCCTTCATGTTAAAATTGATGGTTCACTTCAATGCTCTTGTAATAAAGATGATATCCATGCTATATTTACTGTTATTAATTAGATGGTCTCATATGAAGATTATTTATATAAGCATATTTTTCTTTGATACACTTTATTAATAACATCACTGTAACTATGCACAATGGCCTTCACTTCAAAATTTTACCGATTAGTTAATTATTGGCCTTATTTTTTTTTATCTCAGATTATCTCAGTTATATTCTTCAAAAATATGGCAGTTTTTAGCATATTAATTATTCGGTTTTACATAAAAATTATAAATTTAACTGTATTTATTGTTTTTAAGGTTGAATTCATTGAAATTTTAATATCATGGCACATAAATTGATTGACAGGTAAGTTCTCTAGCCGATCAGTTTCACTGCCACTGGCAAATATGACTAAAAATAATGAGAGCCCTCCTGTGCCAGTACCAGCAATACAGATATGTCAAGCTATAATGCCAGAGGTTAGTGAGTGACAGTGCGTGGGTATGAAATTGAGAATGACTACTTATATATGATTGCAATTGCTTTCCATTGCTTGAGATGAGTTCAGATGAGGGATGGCAACTAATGCCAACTATAGTATTCTTCTTATGGATGGCATGGTCTGTCGTATGATGTTATATAAACCTTATTGATATTAATGTATATAGAAATGGTGGGAGGAAATTACAACTAAATGTCTGTGACTACAAATAGTCCAAGTAATCATTTGATCATATTTTGAAACTAATTAAGCTGACATGTATGATATATTGACAAACAAATTGACTAATTAATTTAGACACTGTGAATATTTTTCACAAGATGATCAACTTACATCCTCAAACGAAATTCTAATCTGAGATACACAGCCAATTTTTGCCTGGTTAAAGATACATTATGGGAGATTTTTATAGAGAGTTGGCCATTCTTGCTATAACAGTTTAAAAGTAGATGATGAAAGAAGAATATATTGAAAATTTCAGTTAAATTACTTTATTCTGAACATAGTTATCATCGTTGTAATATTTGAATAGAAATGGTAGTGAAATGTGCCTTAACCTTGGCCGATCGTTTGATTGACAGGCGTTAACTCCACCTACATATCTCGATTATCAAGTAAAGTTTTCAATGGCATGCGGAAACGCTCTACAGCGGCCTCGCTAAGTACACTCTATCATTTAGCCTCGATCTAACTGATGTATTCTCATCAGGGTGCGCCATATTTGATTTAATCAATAAGTGAAATCCTATTTAAATCTGAGCTGTAGCCGGGCCATCCGTGGGTCTACAGAGTTGATTTTGGGCTTGTTGTTTAAATAAAGATCTAATTTATAATTTCTATAACATCTGAAGCCTAAATTAATACTTGCAATAATCAGATTTAAATTTGAACTATGTATACATTTGAACTATACATTATGTATGTTTAACAGCATAGTTCAAATTTTTTATTGTCGCAATTTATTTTCAATGATACTTAATGCAGACTATACTTTTCTTTCTTAATTAAGTCAAGTATTATCAAACAATGGAAGGTGTAAGTTAATGAATCATCTGCAATCTATCGTCTTGAATTACATAAATCGTTAATCTGGGGCCTGTTTCACGAAATTTTAACAAAGATAAAATCCAAATTTTAGTAATTTGATTGGATAATATTAGATTGGTTTTAGTGCTTAGCCAATCAAAATTGAAGTATCTACTAAAATTTGGATTTTATCTTAAGTTAAAATTTCGTGAAACAGGGCCCTGGTTAATTTTTTATTGCATTAATTTGTTTGTGTACATGATTCATGTGAGTCTCAAAATGTTGACGATATTGTCAAGATGTTAAACCTTATTCCATACCACTGGAAAAAAAACCATAGAGTAGGCTGAAATTCCTACATTGGGGTTGAAATAATTAAGAACTGTAGGCAGCTAGACAAGGCCAAAACCTACAAGTGAGAGTTGTTTTTGTTTACGCTGGGGGAGGGGGGGGGTGTTACTTTATATAACTCATATATTTAATGTAAACAAACCTGTATATTTAAGTTTTGTTTGGGAACTCCTCTTCCTCGCATATTCCTATAGGAATGAATTAACCATGGTCTAGCATGTTGGAATGAAACATAACGTCGACAATTTACTCCAACCTGTAAAACCTATAACAATAAAGAGTACATATTGTATATAATATTATACAAACAATGTCAGTTTTATATGAAATTATTAAATTAAAATGAAAAAAGTTTATTGAAACTAAAATTTAATAAAATACTTATACTTTAAGTGTTGTTTACATCTGTTATTTGTGTTAACTGTTTGTTCCCTATTTAAATTCTGTTCTGCATTTAAATATAAATATGTATATAAATAAAATCAAAGTGTGTATGTGTGTGTGTATGTTCACCAATTACGCTTTGTTGCCACCCTCCATCCCCACATATGTGGTATCAAATTAACCAGCATGACCCTGCGAATGTTTTAGGCCATCAAATTCGGGCTTCGGGCGAATCATGCTTTGTTACTGCATTTGGGCTATTCCCTGTGTGTAAATTACTGTAATAGTGTGTAAAATGCTGTAATCTGTGTAAAATGCTGTGAAGGGTGTAAAATATTGTTCTGTGTGTTAAAATATTGTTAACAGTGTAAATACCATTCAGGGAGTAAAGTATTGTTTATTATTCCAAATCTAACACAAGATTATCACTAATCCTAGAAGTCAAATAGGATGATTCTGGAGTGCTTGTTACATCAACTAACTCAAAACCTATAAACAGTTCTAGTCATATCCTATGGTAGCTAACATGTTCTATACCTGTTAATAGCTAAGGGGGTTGGATGGCCGAATGGTTAGCGTGTCTGTCATTGAGTCAACTGGTGTGGTTTTGATTCCCCGGTTGAACATGTCAAGGAGTAGGGTCGCCTGTCCAACATCGTGGGTTTTCTCCGGGTCCTCCGGTTTCCTCCCACTGCTAAAGACCCCTACACGTGCAAGCGAATTATTGAAATAAAATTGAACAATATGTTAGTCCAGAAATGACCTAGTTTTGTGTCGAGTGGACATTAAACTCCATTTCTCTCTGTTAATAGCTAGTGTGTTATTGTTAAAATTAGTAGTTCTAATCAAAACTAATGCTTACATTAGTTTAAAGTTACAATTTCATATTTTTAAGTTATATTTTTAAAATGTATTAAAATAAAGCCCTAAAATAGTTGGTATCTATAAACAGTCCTACCTTGTTAAAGAATAATCCTATTAATCCTATAATTCACTATTACCAGTTGAGAAATTGGCAAAAATATCATTTTCAACTTCAAATTCAAACGTTTGAAGATAGCTATTCCATGGTGGGGAATAGGAAAACAAGGGAGGTAATTGGGAGGTAATTGTGTTAATATTTCTGGTGTGAAGATTTGTAAGTGTGAGAAAGATAACCTATGATCATATAATAGTGAGTTGACAAAAGACATAGAAATAATTATGTTTTGACTTTCTTAGAAAATATGAAATTGTAACTTTAAATCAAAACTTATAATAACTAGCTAGTTTTTGTAAACATTTATTCAAATAGCTTCTAGTAAAAAGGTATGCTTATAATAACTAGCTAGTTTTTGTAGAAATTCATTCAAATAGCTTCTAGTAAAAAACATATGCTAATAATAACTAGTTCTACAAATAGCCAACACTGTAAAACTGATGACTTTATATGAATAGATGACTTTTACTATAACTGAGAATTTATGCCATAAAGGATAAAAGTCAGCTTTACTTAATAATACTAATGTTCTTGTAACTACAGAACATGGTTTTAAAATTATAGACTTATCAAAACTATAGCCATAAAGAATGTCACTAGCGTGACTAATTCTAATATCAAAACTACTGAATACACAAACACAACAAATAGTGGTGTTTAATAGTTAGGTTTTAGCATCTAATGATCGAGTGACGTAGCACCTATGTTTAAACTATTGCCTGATTAATAATATTTAAACAGACTAGTAAACATTAAAATGATGAATTAAATCTGCTTGTAGCAGACATTTTCATTTGTAAAAGTCAGATATTTATAAGTGAATGGTATCAACTTTACTTACTGTAGTGAAATTGACAGAACAACTCGTGATGTATCATGTGTTCACACAATTATATCTAGCACCTAATTCTCCCAGATGAGATTTATGACAAAGGGGTCATTCCATGTCAAGTGAACCAAATTCTCAGAAAGTTGTAAAGTGACCCCCTCAGAAAATTATGGAAAAAAAATATGTTATAGTACATACAGACAGACCTAAGTAAAACTGCAAAGTTATATGACTCTAGCATTAATATTGACTGAGATATGACCATTTGAATCCCCATACCCTTTCGCAAGTTTTGAAACTATTATATGACTTGATTTTTGTAATCTGATTTTATTCCTTCCAGTCAGTCTATATTCTTGAAATTGAGGGGTTGGTAACAGAATGTTATGTAGATTAACAATTTACCATCAAATTTTACCGATCAAGTACTTTCAACTGTGTAGTGTATGGAGTAACTTAAGTGACAAAAATTGATACTTGTTCCCCCCAAAAAATATATATTTTGATACAGTGTAGAAATTTTACTACACCATATTAAAGCTAGAATCTTGAATTTGCATGTATTTATAACATATATTTTTTTCATAATTTTCTGAGGGGTTCACTTTAAAAGAACTGGTCCACTTGACATGGAATGACCCAAAGGCTCTTAATGTAAGAATGTTTATCTGGTATATGTGATACTAAAGGAATAATGTATAGATCTGTGATTCTACTTGACCATTATCAGGCATAATTCAGCATTAAGACAGATCTGATCATCATTATAGTTTCCTAGTACAATGTATAGTAGTAATAATCACACAAGCAGTTTCATTAAAGTATACTACTAGTACTAATAGCAATATTATTCTAACATCATAAGGCCAACATAAAACATTGACCTCATATTATTATTATCATTCATTCTTTTAAAGGGACAATAACACTCTTGCTGGCTTGACAGCTCCAGAAAATAAAAAATAGCCTTATTCTAAGTACTACTAGATGTGTAATGTGTCCTACCTGTTGTGTAAATTATCCATTAAATCCTATTTTACCTGTCCATAAGGGTTCAAAAATATTTTTAAATCCAAGTCACATTTGAAAAGCTTTACGTCAGGCTTTTCAAATCATTTAGTTGAATTTTTCCAATTTTTTAAATCAGGTGTGTGAAGATGAAATTTGTATCATCAATTAATTGGAATATTGTAAAATACTACAATTTGTTGACCAGAATAAAGATTGGGACATATTATTCAGTTACAACAAGAGTGGTATTGAGCCTTTAAACCAAATATGACTATATAATAACAGGAACACTATCCAATTATAGATTCATAATATCTGACATACTTTGTCATTAAACAACTAGTTATTTTGTCAATTTCTCCTCATTTTGTCTTTGATTGCCCTTTGAGTGATGATATACTACAAGATTTCATTTACTTTCTTTTTCACTGTAACATCAATAGGACAATCTCGTTTTGAACAGAGTCCCAAGAATAAAAGTCCTAGTGCAGAGGATGAAAGTTAAGCGCCACAATATAGAGGAATGGTGTATTATTTACCTTGTTTCAAAATTTCAACTCAAAATATTGAGTTGTTTGGGCGTGAACGTCAAAATTGCTTATCCAAACACATAACCCATTAAAGATTTCAGTCAATTTTTCGTTGGGTGACCTGATAATTGACTGTCGTTCCTATAGAGGTGAATGCTGTACTTAATAACGAAAGGTAAATTTCACCTATACGTTATTTCTATAAAATAAAAGTCTGGTTTTACCCAGACACCATACAGCTTGGGACACCGGTCTCCATTTCCAGATAAAGACTGACAAGTTTAAGTTGTTTGAAAATGTATCATGTATATTGAGTTAGTTGCTTGGCCCTAAGGTAGACAATTTTAAGGGCTTTTAACACAAAATTAAGCAGTTTTATTCTCCAAAATATAACCCGAGATTGGCCCTTTAATGTTGATAATCCAGCCCTCTGTTCTGCCAGCAAGACTTGTTAAATCTGAATTCCTGCTGGTAGAACAAGAATATTTGTTTCATACCGTGATCGCCTGTTGTTGGTGAGCTTCTACTTACAGTGTAGAAATTGATCTTGTTTATCGCATCAGTGGCATTACAGAAATTGTGTCACATAGAATTTCTATCAAATAAGCACGTTTCACAAGATTATACTGGAAGGGTGGTTTGACAGGACTACCATGACAACATGTGATGATGTGATAAATTGTTGCATGACCATTCAGTTAAAAAAAGCCTTTAATGTAGGGCATATTATTTATCTACTAGAGGATAAATGTCTGATGACATCCATGTAGGCGAAATGTGCTCAGTGTCAATTCAAATTTGAAATTGAGATATCTTAATGAAAAATAAAGATTATCAATTTTAATTTGAAATTGACAGAGAGAGAGAAATGGGGTTTAAAGTCCACTCGACACAAACTAGGTTATTTTGGGACTAACATATGGTTCAAGTTTATTTTAATAATTCGCTTGCGCGTATTGGTCTTTAGCAGTGGAAGGACCCGGAAAAATACCCAAGAGGTTGGACAGGTCACCCTACTCCTTGTCGTCACGTAGAAGCAGGGAATCGAAACCACACCACTTGACTCAATAACAGACTGTATGATACAACATGCACGTGTTAACCATTCGGCCACCCAATCCCCCTATTTGAAATTGAGATATCTTTTAAAATGAAAAGTGCACATTATCAATATAATTTGAAATTAAGGATGTAGAAGTCTTCACAAGAACTGTACATGGTTGATTTAAATTTCTAATTAAAGAAGCAGGTGTATTTACCTTGATTAAACAAACAGATTTATTAAAGATTAATAACGCAAGGACTGACAATCAAGACTTATCATGGTAATCGGCTATTTCTTGTCAAAACTTCAAACAGCCACAACTTCACTCCGAATAAAGTCATTTGACAGAAATTTACAATATATTAATTTTTTTAGTATCAGCCAGCACTTTATCTGAATCTTAAATAATACATCTTTAAAAAATGACCAATAATACCATTCAGATTTTATGTACATGAACAGTAAAATTTGATTTCAAATTATTTGA